GGATAAATGAGAAAATCCAGCAATAACAGCACATTTCACTAGCTTCTTGGGGCGTGTTTCTGATTCTGAGGAGCAGAATTGGATCAATGGCCAACCAGTTTATCTGCTGTATATCGGCTATATCATGCTATATATGCTATATCCAATAATATCCAATATCTATCTATCAATATCTTATATAATATCTTGTGAAAATGCACCATATAACCATCCACCAACCTACAAAAGAAATCAAAAGAACAGATTCTATACAGTACAACTCCATCCCCCCGGAAAAACGCAAAAAAAAAAAAAACAACCCCTGGGCCCCGCTGCGATTGCCAAGATCATAGCCATCAAACCAATGCCCTCAGTCACTGCCGCAGACTTTGGGGATGGAAGTCGGGCTAAGTCGAGCTCAACATCATCTGGTTGGTGGTGCAATAACCATCTTGAAAAATATGAGTTCGTCAATGGGAAGGATGACATCCCATATATTAATTATTATGGAAAAATGAAAAAAATGTTTGAAACCACCAACCAGTCATCAACATCAACAACATCAAAGGAAGCATCCCCCCGGGCTTCCAAGCAAAGAAGGTCGCGATGTGGATCCAAGAATGGGCCACCAAGGGTTCCTCCTCTCCCTCCTCATTTGGCATGATTCCGCTGATAATGAAGCGGATCACCTGGCTGAATGTCGTGGAATTCTGTGCGAAGGAACAGAAGGAAACCAATCTCTGGACAACCGAAGCATGAGATTTTTCGAAAAACGACAGTGACTACAGTAGCCCTCCAAAGTGTGAAAACATGTGAAAACCAATGGCGGGCTGCGCAAAGCCAAAGGATATCCAAGGTGATCCCAGGGGATCCTTTTGGGTGTTTCGTATTTGAACACCACCATTTTGGATGATTTTCAATCACTTCTGGTATGTTGCTCTTGTCCAGGATGTCTGTTGGTTCTATATCAATTTCTTCAAGGAACCCTTGGTTGACCCAAGTAATTTGAAAAATAAATAATATCCATCAGTTTCTCATCCAAAACCGTTGGAGACTCCGAGTTTTCAGTCCCACCGTCCCACCAAATTCGTGCCTGCACCGACAAGAAGGAAAGGGACAAGGACGACCTCGCAGAGTTGGGGTGAAGCCAGTTATTCACACAACTGACAGAGTTGCAATTTTTGGGTCTGAAAGTAGGATACCCCAACTTTTGAGGGTGAATCATCATTATCATTCATTTTCCCCTATGAAATAGCCATCATTGGTGGTATACCCCATTTCCAGTCTGTTTTTCCCACCAGGATTTTATGGTCGGGTCCCCTCATTGCGAATCTTGACAGCGAAAAATCTTAGGCACACCAAATCGGCATGTTGCTCCCCAAAAAAAAAATGATTCAAATAAATGGAGAAAATTCCACAGGAAAACATGTTTTTACCCAATCTCGAGCATATTTTGTCTCAACCAATGCCGAAGAAAATCCTCGTTCTGAGCTCTCCCAACACATCGTTCTCCGCTTCCACCACCTCCGGAAAAGGGTGCGGAGGGGTTGATCGGTGATCCCGGTGGTCCCTGCACCCATGATTTTTAGAGGTTTTGATTGGGGAATTACCCTCTGGTAAACTAACATAGCTATGGAAAATCACTATGTTTAATGGGAAAATCCACTATAAATGGCCATTTTCAATAGCTATGTTAGTTTACCAGAGGGTATGTGGAAATTCCCTCAAAAAACATCGTTTTTAGATTTGGGGCTGTGTTCTGTTCGGAAGGGATTCCCAAGTGGCTGGACTTCGTTTGGGGGATGTCATTTTTTGCGTTCAATTACTACCTCTAAACTATCGAGATCTCGTAGGATTTACTGGGGCTTTACTGGGGCTTACGGAAGGATCATCACTTGGTAGTGGGCAACTTCATTCATTCATCCCCTTCCCTTTTTTGGGGGCTTGACAAGCCACGCTTCAATGGGAGTTGAGCCAACAAATGAATGGGTACACAAATCGATATACAATAGTGGTTGCTTGGGTATCTATGTTTTAGGGCACCTGCTGGATTTACGCGGAAAATCCAGCCAGTCTTGTTTGGCTTATCCACCTCCGAGACTCATTTGCAACACCAAAAGGTACCAAAAAATACTAGAGCCTTAGATATTCTTATAGCCCCACCCCAAGAATTTAAAAAGTGCTTGTAAGATTTTGATATGATTAGTTTAGACAATCCTAGTAGGATGTTCGGATTATTTTTTGGGTGCTATAAGTGACTTTCCTTTTTGAAAGGAACCCTGGAATAGATGAGCCCTGGCCAGCTGTGTTCCGTGCGAGTTGTACCAAGGTACAGCTTCATGACACAACTTCACCTTGAAGTGGCCTCGGTAACGGACATTGTAGCAGCAATGAATCGGTTGTTTCTTCATGTTTCTTCAAATCGGTTCAACGCAATAATGGGGCAGTACAATTAATTCTTTATTCCACCTTAAAACAGGATGCAAAGTTCGAATAAAAACCGGCGCGCTGTCTCACCTGTCTTTCACCGTGCTTATCGTTGTGCAGTGTGAAGTTGCTAGGAACCAAATCCAAGATGCCTCATGGGGCTCAGGCCCAAAGCTTAACCTGACCCTGAGGCATAGGCCACTGCTCTCTTGGTTCTTGATGCAGTCTTCCATGCTTTTGCTCCGTGCCATTGACGACAACTTGAAGAAAATCTGGCCGGGGAAGTCTGGCGGAAATTAAGCCGAACTCACCCATGGAGCCGCCTGGTGCTACGTCCTATGCAGGTTGGTCACTTGATTTTGCCCGGCTGAAGATGCCAAGCTTGGAAACAAATAGCTGCTCCCCGAAGAAAGAAACGCCGTTTATTTTTTACGCCAGACCCAAGCTAGACATCAGGGTAAGTGGGGCGCCTGGGCCCCCTGTATACGGATATGATCAACATCCCTCACTTTACAGCTCCAGTATCTCTCTGCTCACCAAAACACACTGGAGAATGTCATCATGTTCCCCAAATGGTTTTCATTGGAGGGCGAGGCACCCAATGGCAAACACATCTTGTTGGCTATATTATATAAAATGCCCTGCAGTCAATTAACATAGACCCTGCCAGATAGGGGTTGGAAGATTAGTTTCCGCTATAAATTGGTGATTTTCAGGGTCTATGTTTACTGAAGGGTATGGTAACGGAGAATCCCCCATTGATACAGTAGCTGATTTTCCCAGCCATTAACCTCCATTTATTTCAGGGATTTCCCAGCCTGCAGCACCACCTGGTTGATGATGGCCTCATGGAGGAGTTGGGATCTCAAGCCCGTCATGTTTCATCCTTAAAATAGAATATGTGATGTATATAGATATTCAATGATATTCATGTTATATAGTTGTATAATACGGTTTAATTGTTGTAGATATTTAATGATATATTATATATTTAAACGTTAGACTTTATAGGTAGTTGACCCACCGCCCAGAACAACCCCTGGGTTCTACTGGACGTCTCGGTCAGGGGTGATGGGGGTGGGTGATGCTGGGGTCATTTCCGTCAAAGTGGACCGCCACAGTGGCTGACCCAGTGTTATCTGAACTGGTGTTCGTTCCAATTTGTTCTCTGACAGTCCGCGGCATGCCCGGCACCTGCAACTCCAAAGGAGTTCTAGTCAGCATCGAAGAGATTGCTGAAAGCAAACTGACTTTTGAACACGAAGAATGAAAACAAGCAGCTTTGGTCACACCGCAGATTAAAAATGAAGAAAACCGCAATTCCTTTGGTCAAAAAAAACGTTTCCCCCCCACAGAATTACGTGTTCAGAGAATTCATAAAGTTCAAGAAAAACTAACGGTTTGCGGCAATGTGAAATGCATTTGAAAGCAAATTAGACTGGGAACTACACATGACAATTGTCAATTCCTGCAATTACCCCATGTCATTTCAAGCTTTGCAAATGTTCTTGCCCCATGGAATTGTGAACATTCAGTACATTTGGAATGTGAGAAATGTATAGAAATGTCATGTCGTGTCACGGTCCCCTGTGAGCGGTGGACCTAATGAAATATGCTAAGTTATATGGTTCTATTTTGTAAATGTGTATTTAATATGAATGGACATGGCCAAAGTGGGTGGTCCCCTATCGGGTTGTGAAGGTTTTCACGCAAATTTGAACAGCCCAGGTCTACTCCCTACTACTTTTGTTTTTAGTTTATTTTGTCGGTTACTCATATGTATACACCCCATAGAAAAAGATAGGAAAAATTGAAAATCTGGTAGATGTGTTTTTGGAGAACGGCATCTCTGACCTTCTGGAAAATCGTGTCTCCCTGTTGACCCCCACACTTCATTATCATTCATCCATACCATACCTACAAACTGGGCCCCTTAGTTTCAAATTGGTTTATAAACCCCGTTAAGTATAGTTATGAACCCCATGAAGTTAATGATTGGAGTTATAGACCAACTTATATATCTAGGGGGGCCCGGCAATCAAACATTACACTTGAAAATCCACTATAAATGGAAGTTTTCATTGGAAATCCATAGGCTAATTGAGGGGACATGAGCCAGCAAGCCGTGTTTGATCACTGAAGGAAAACACCATTAAATCCATTCAAATCCCAAGACAATCACTATATTTTTGCTGGTTGAGAATCAGCTTTTTCCAACTTGAGCTAGCAGTGGGATTCACCACATGCCATAGTCACCATCCCACAGTTTTCATAATTTCGATGTATAGTGTGTAAACCATCCCCAGTCATGGTACGCTTTTTATCCTTGGTTTTCCCACAGTTTTCCAATAATGTGTATATATATATATATATGTATCCATTCTTCATCTATTCCTGTTGGCCATACACATGTATATATATATATATATATATATACACCCTATTAATCATCATCAACCATCATCATTCGGTATTCATAGCAAATTCTGAATCATCATTAACAACCATGCTTGATTATTCATTAATCATCATTACAGTAACCATTGTTTAACTATTCTGAAATATTAACCATTGCTGATTATTCACCATTATTAATCATTGTTGATTATTAATCATTATAGCAAATGTTTAATCATCATTAATCATTCATTCACCATTGTTGAGGGTTCACCATCATTACCCTCTGGTAATTTAACCTAGCTATTGAAAATCACCATATTTGCTGGTTATATCATCTATAAATGACCATTTTCCATAGCTATGTTAGTTTACCAGAGGGTATCCTTGGGTGTTCTCACTTTCCAACCCCCGGGTCGGCTCTGCGGTCTGCGGTCTCCGCACCGGCAAAAGCGCCATGCCAGGAGAAGAGGCAAAGACCTGGCGCGGTTTGTCGAGCTCACCTGGTGTGAACTGGGGAAATCCTAGGTTTTCGGGTGGAAAATCCATAAAAAATTGTTTATCCCTAGTTTTTTTTGGTGAAAATCATGGAAAATCCATATCTAAAAATAGGTTGGTCGGAAAAATCGGGCAGCCTCATCATTTCAACGGCACGCCCGCCTCCACGGCTTGAAGCCTTGCGCCGGCGTTGATGGCTGCGAAGCCAGACATGTGGGCTAACAGCATGGCCCAACACCTGGCCCGGTGGAGGTGGATATCTTTAGGAAAAAAATGGATGGTCGTTGATGATGGATCAAAACCGCCAAAAAAATAGGGCTTGATGGAGTGCTGATGTATTGAAAAGGTGGATCTCCAGGAAACAACTATATAAGATTATATATGTTAATGGAATGCCTGACCCCCCGCATTCAATTTGAACGTCTAAATTGAGAATGGATTTTTGCATGTGAATACCCTCTGGTAAACTAACATAACTATGGAAATTCACCAGATTTAATGAGTAAATTCACTTTAAAATGATCATTTTCCATGGCAAACTGTTAAATTACCAGAAAGTAGAACATGGATGGAAAGTTGATAAACATCTGATCGAAGTCTGCTGACGACTTCTTCGCTTCGACCAATCCACTACCGAGGCAAACCCACCATCACCATGTTTGGTCGGTGAAATCTCCCATCTGGCCGCAACGTTCCCACGTGAAGCCTACTATTTCATCACCTTTTCATCACCATTTTGCCTGGTTCAGTCCAAATTACCCTCTGGTAAACTAACATAACTATGGAAAATCACCATTTTTTATGGGCAAATCAACTATAAATTGCCATTTTCAATAGCTATGTTTGTTTACCAGAGGGTGAAGTTGCTACAAATCCTCATTGTGATTTTCAGGATCCTTAAATGGAGCTACTGTAACATATTTTGGCCATATTTTCTGGGGATATTCCCTTACATAGCCCCATTCGACTTGCCATTGGACACAAAACATCTCCACCCCTGAGCCGCGTAAATGGCCTCATCCACCTTTGGGCCCTGCGCAGGTTGTGCCGCTCTTTGCGCACCTGGAACGCGGTTTGGAAGCTGTTGGGTAAAATTAATGAGATTTAACAATGCAAAAATGAAAAATTGTGGTTTTTGCTGGGATCTGACCAACACACATGATGATTTTAATTGGATTTGTATATATAATGTGGGTGAAATCAATGTCATAAACCAGCCACGACTGGGAATGGTAAGTTTATGCCACCTATAAAAATTGTGATGACTGGGGGATGGTTCATTATTGTTTTGCCGATATTCATTTAAAAAAACAATAAAGATATATCTCAGGTGATTTGAAAATATCTTTGGAGCATACCCCAAATCTCTCCAGGTATGCTCCGAGGGTCTGTTGGATTTTTTTTCGTAGGGCTGTGGAGATTTCGCACGTGCTTATTGGATGTCTGCATAAGCTGCATAATATTAATATATATATATATATACGTATATGTCGTGGGCGTGTCTGAAAATGGGAACATTATTTCAAACCAGTGGATTTAGGGGTACCTAAAGGCAGATGGGACGGGGTCGAAAAAATTTAGCCTTACATCATATCATTTGATATATATATATAAATACATGTATATTATAGCATCCCCAACAGGGATGAAAATTGAAAAATAAAACCGATTCAAGAATGTGGTAGTAAATTCAATTTTTCTGAATCTTTTCAATGGTTGCTATAATGCTGGGGATCCAATTAGTGAGGTGGCACTAAATATTGGAAAATGTTGTCAAAATTATTCAGTCTCCTGGGTTTGTTTGGGGTGGTAGAGATTTTTCAAGAAGGCAAAAAGTAGCTGACAAGGTGAAAACCTACAATCTTTAGTGTTACTGCTTTACAGTACCACTAGTTTTTGCATCTTACCTAGCACCACTTCCAAAGAACGCCAGGGTTTCCAAAAGGACTAATTCATCTAATTCCTTTACCAGCCACATCTAGCCACTACGCTTTGTTTCAAAACCACCCAAAGAATCTATGGGGTTAGCCCCCCCAAAAACCACCCAGTTGCATAGTGGCTTTGCAGTGCCAATGACCTCTATGATCCAAGGTATTCATGACTGGTTGGTGGTTGACCTACCCCTCTGAAAAATATGCGTTCGTCAATGGGAAGGATGACATCCCATACATTATGGAAAATAAAAAATGTTCCAAACCACCACTTTGCACCGCTTTGCGCACTGCACTGTCTTAGGTCTCGAAGGCAGCACATTATCTGTAGGCTACTCTACGCTGTTTGTGACAGGTTCGTCACAGGCACAACAAACCCCCAGGTCTGCCAACGAAAGGACACCCTGGCGAACTCCATCAGCCACCGATCCACATCCTCAAGACTGGGCACACCAGGGCAAAGCCAAACATCTGTCGAACTTGCAGGCCATGTGACTGGCCGGGCGACAGTACTGAGACGACTCCGAAATCCCTGCATGGCGGAGGGTCGCCCTCAAAACCTTTCCAAACCATCTGGCACGTTGCATAAAACCGATGTGCTGCAAGGCATGTAGTGGGTGCTCAGCACAGATGTGCCATCCCCTGGCATGAATCGGGCCAGCATCCCCAGTCTGAAGAGCATAATCAACAAACCATTGAGCATTAGAAATCCAGACCGTAGGACCTTGCCCAACCGCCACTGCAGTCCACAACCATAGCAGCAACGTGGAAACAACGAAGTCACCATACCAGTATGCATAAGGATCCTGCAGCTACCCGGACGAAGGACGCGCTGGATCATGGCATTCCACTCATCAGCGATTCGACAAGCGCCAGTATACCTGGCAAGCAGCGACCAAAAGTCAGGGCCTCGACGTTCATTTGCACGGGCATCAACCCTAACAGCAAGCTGGGTATGCAAAAAAACCAACTCTTCGATAGGTGTTGTGGCAACGCACCCCTCTTGATGAGCCGCGACTTTCGTAGTTTGGACATTGCACACTCCATGAACATCATCAGCCATCAGGGTCCAAAGGTCGGCGTTCGGAGAGTTCAGTTGACCCGAGTCTCCAAGCAACATACGGTGTAAGCGCCTGACAACTGCCTGACAACTGCCTGACAATCTGACCAGATCACTAACTGCACTCCCCTACAGCTGGCAAATTCGATCGCTCTCTGAATCGCATAAAGCTCCGCCCAGACAGAGGTCAGTCTACCTCTCTGCAGGGGACCACTGTCCAGAATAACAGCAGGACGACACATAGATAGGTCTGCAACCACAACAGAGTAGGCATCATATTGTAAATCATAGTAACCAAAATGAGTCTCACCAAGGGCCCAAACGTCCTCATACCCAACACAAAACTGAAAAACTCGGCATCAGGAGCAGGGTGTGACGCTTCCCCTATCTGGAGGACACTGAACCATAGCAAGAGCACCACCCGAACCTGCCTCAGTGCCGATGCAAACCCCACGACACAAAACATCATGATGGGCATCAGAGCCCTCCACCCCAAACCGGCAAAGCCTGGCACAGCACACGCAACACCATTGGGACCAGAGGGCTCCTGCCCACCCCCTCATTCGCCGTCATCTCGAGATCTTTTGGCCAATAGGCACCATACGTGGGAGAGCTGAGTCTCAAACATCACCAGGATGCCATCATTCTGCGTCACAATCCGGCTGTGCAACAGCAGAGACATCACCAGCAACCGGGCCACACCCTTCACGACCACCGAGATGCTTCCTCCAGAGTCAACCTTGCTGATGTCCATGGTGAGATCCATGGCTGACACCGGGGAACAGATGCTCAACGCTCAGCAGGGAACGGCCGCACCTGCTGGTAGGAGTTGAGCCCACGGCTGTTCCAAACCACCAACCAGTAGATTCATGACTAGTTTGTCCTGTTTTTTTCTGAATCCCTCATTTTTTACTGCCCATCTGCTTGAGGGGGTATCCATTAACATTATTGGCAAAGTCAAATAATCAAATAAGCAAAGAAGCGTTGGGTCCCAAAAATCAAAAAAAAAAAAGGTGCCCGTCGCCACTATTTTCGGGGCAGGTCCTTGAAAAGGAGAACCCAGCACCCTGAAAATCTAGATTCTAGATACCCTCTGGTAATTTAACCGTTTGCTATTGAACAATGGCCATAGAAATAGTTGATTTACCCATTAAAAATGGTGATTGCCCATAGTATCATAGTTATGTGAACGTTTACCAGAGGGTATCGCTTATGAGACATGACACCCCTTGGACTGGTGAAGTTGAGTCACTGCCTTGGAAAAAGGATGGGTTCTGCCATCAACTTGAGGGCTTTCCAGCCATTTGTCCTGCTTAAGAATTCTGCGAAGATTCGGAAAACCTGGAAACTTCCTCCCTTATGAACAAAAAATCCATATACAACTGGCATCTTTAAGGCCCCCATGTTCAGTTGGTGAAACGTCGGGCAAAAAACAACGTGAACTCAAAGGACTCCAAATAACTTTCTGGCTCAACAGTTGGGCTGGAAGAAAAGGAGGTTTCGCACCCCAGAAATTTGATGATCATCATTTTGTTGATTTAGTATCCTATTATATCCTTATAGTTAATGAACAACCCTGGGGCAAATCCCCATCACCCAAGGAAAAAACTTCAGGTTGCCATAAATCACCATTTTCATGTTTTACCTATATTTACCTCTTCAAAAATGCTATGAGTCATCATGATCGCCATCACTTTCGGGTCACTCCCCAGTTTTCTCCCTCGTCCCTCACTTCGCGTGAGCCGAGCCAAGCCACTGGCACTTCTATGTTGTGCTGGTCCAGCCAGACCTTCGCATCTGAATACCCTACTGTAAATCAACATAGATGTGGAAAAACCTGGGGAAATCATTGGTTTTCCGCATCTATGTAAAGTTTACTGTAAGTTTACCCTAGGGTGCTTTATCTGGCTGGATTTTAAAAATTCCACTGATCTGAAACCATGTGGGAAGATGATTCACGGATCATCATCCCAACTCGGTGGGATTTTCTGAAAACTGTCGGCTACGTCCCCAAAAAATAGTCATTGATGGGGGAATGATGATAAACTAGTAACTAGTGGATGATAAAGTGATGGAATGAGGGACCCTATTTTCAGACAAACCCATCTGTGGATATGATTGAATCATATTTAATCAAACAATGGGGAGATATATCATCAAGACTTGGAGAAGACACCTCCATCTGACATTCAAGTTTTTAGTTCACCCAAATCATACCCTCCCCCAGTAAAACAACCCAGGGGTGAAATTGACCCGCAGTTCTCTAGGATTCAACATTATCTCAGTTGACATGCTTTTTGCATGATGGCACCAAGAGATATGGAAATATTCAACCCGAAGCTACGCCCCTTATATCCTTTACAAGGGATCCAAATTTCAAGATCAATGCCTGCGTTTCTTGGAAAACAAATTTAATTTGGATGCATTTTTTCCTTGATTCAGATTGTTTCCGTTGAAAAGCTGTTGACATCAAAAAATCCAATGCAATTTCTGGAAACATCGCTAGTCAATGCGAACCACACAAACATACATTAACCAAACAAACGCCAAACAAAAACTAGCAGTTTGAAGGGCGTACATTCCCCAAACATCCCCAAACAATGGCCACACTGACGGGTTTTAACAGTAGGAGTATAAGGCCCGGGTTCCTTCAGGGTGCTCGTTCTGGCCGCCGGGTGTCGTCTGGCGCTCGCACAAAAATTCCCTTGTGAGATGTCCATGTGCATTTCTAGATCGCAGGCTCGCACAAAATGGATGTCGTGCTTGGCTCGCTTCCGAAGGTCTACTTTTACCCGCGCATGTGACCGGTGCAGGACATCGGACGTTTTTTCATCCGCTTGGCAGGCGTGGTACTTTTTGCACGTTGCTAAAACGTTGGCAGGCATGGGTCAAAATTACAAGCACTCTTGGAAGTCATGTTTCTTGCCCAGCGCAGAATTTGGTGAAATTTGATGATGTTTTGATAGGCTCCAAATTCTCGTTTTGTGAAACCGTCGTCATTTTTGATTTGGTGCATGATGATGATCTCGCAAAGCAGGCGCTCTTCGGTGCCTCGGGCATTCACATTTTCAATGTTGATTTTTCATGGTGCGCGCAATATTTGCTGACATTCCAGCACGTGCTCCCGCAACCCTCTTGTCACTTTGTCCGTGTCAGATCGCTCTTGTTGTCGCTCGGTGCTAATTTTGATATCGCCCGCGGCACTCGCGCAACCGCGTGGTGCTCATTTCAGCTGATTCTCAAAGATTCTGGCAAAGAGATCTTGTGGGTTCTGTGCGAGGTCCTTCTATGAAGATCTTGCGAGAATTTCATAGTGCGCTCTTAGTCCTCATATAAAGATCTTGACTAAGCTCTTGGAGAGGTCCTTGTGAAAAGATCTTGTGAAGATCCTGGTGGGATCCTCTAAGAGGTCCTTGAATGATATTGTACAGGAAGATCGTGCGGAGATCCTGGTGTAAATCCTCTCAGAGGTCCTTGCATGAAGGTCTTGAGGATAACTTGGATTTCTGGTGCTTGTATCAAAGCTCTTGTGGGATGCTCGTGTATAAAGGCTTTGCAAGATCATCTATAAGGTCCTTGTCTGACGATCCTGTGAAATTCTCTTGGGTGTCCTGGCGCTGCAGCTCGGACAATGTCTAACCTGACCTCTCTCTCTCTCTCTCTGTCGGGCGTGACTGTCCGCAGCCGTCCTATGAAGACGCCCCAAATAACACTGCAATGCAAGCCAATTGCTCGCACAGCTTAAAAGCGCTGGCAAACTACCGCTTTCCTACATTGGCTTCCTACCCCTCGCACTGTTTGTGGCTCTTGCCCACGCAATATGTTTTTCCAAAAAGGCCAACAATCAGGAAATGTTTCCTCCATATGTCTACACTTGCTTCCTCCCAAAAACAGCATGTAAAATCATGTAAAACAATAGTTTCCTCCATCTATTTCCCAATATCCTAGCATAGAAAATCCGAAATTCCAAAAAGTCTCCCATTTAGCTCGATGAATTTCGCATTGAAATATCCTAATTTGGCTCGGGTTTCAAGCCCATCCGCCCCGTGGCGGCTTACGCACCAAGAGACACTCCGTTTGGCGTCCGGCTCTCTGCCGACGGCCCGGACCTTTTGAACCTGCAGCTGAATCTAATATAGATATGGATTGTGAATATAGATGTGTATATTTATGGGTAGACGGATAGATGGATGGATAGATAAGATAGGAAATGTAGGATATTGGATAGGATATTGGATAGGAAAGGAGAGGATAGCATAGGACAGGGTCGATGGCAAAGGATAGCATAGGATAGCGTAAGATAGCAGGGGATAGCATGGCATGGCATCGCATCGCAACGATAGATAGATATAGATATGGATATAGATATAGATTTAGATGTAGATATGCATAGAGATGGAAAGGGATAAATAGAAATAGATCGATAGAAAGATTGATTTAGAGATAGACAGACACACAGACAGACACACAGACAGACACACAGACAGACAGACAGACAGACAGACAGACAGACAGATAGATAGATAGATATATAGATAGACACACAGACAGACAGACAGACAGACAGACAAACAGATAGATATACAAAGATTATCCGATATCTCTGATGTATCTCACATACATATATACATATATATATAATATATATATCATACACATGGTAACTACATTTAAACATACGGATTTTTAAATATACGAGCAGGTGTTTTAGACTACCTCCGGGAAGGTTTTCCTTGGCCTGCCTGGCCATTTAAACATACGGAATCCAATTCATTTAAACATATTGTAACTACATTAAATATACAAACTACTATCTTATACTAGTGAATCTTATGTATGCATGGGTGTGTGTGTGTGTTGAGGACCCTGACAGTCATCTGTGACTCAGCCTGCCCACCCTAGAATCATGAGAATCCACATTCAACCCAACGGAAAAATGAATCATTCGGATTTTCCGGGTGATATAGTTATGTATGTACATGTATGTATGCATGCATGTATGTATGTACGTACGTATACGTATGCATGCATGCATGTACGTACATACATCACATACACATATGTATATATTTGTGCGTGAATGTATCGCAAACATATTATATTTTTGTTTGTGTAGACAGATGATCAAAAGACGGCTCTCAGCTGGTTTTAAGCTTCAGATTCTGTTTGGTACAAGGGGAGCTCCGATCCTACCTGACGGCCCCCGCCCCCATCTAGTATGCAATAATCAATGTCTGGAATGGTTCCAAATTTAGGTGCAGAACTTGCAAGCATGTGGTCGTATCATGCAAGGAGCTATCGCTGACTTCCCGAAGTTGCGCGGATTAACAGCCATGCGCTAATCCAAGGGTACCTTCAGCGACCGGGCCTCTTCTGGAGTCAATTTCCTGCCGTAGTCACACCTGGCTCAGAAAGGACCTCCCCACAGCCTGACCCCCATTGGGACCCCAAAATAGATCCAATATGAAATCTATACATCGCTAGGGGAGCATTAATACAATTCGTAATACAAGAGGAAGAGGGAATGCTTCGATGTTCATTGCCATGATAGTCAGTTGTTCCCAGCTGTTGAACTTTCATGTTCCTCCTGCCACCCAGGCTAGTTCAACAGCAAGGTATGAAGGTGTAATCCAAGTACAGCCAACTTTTTCGAATGGAATCCCAGGCCCCAGATCATTCCCAGTTCCAGAAAATTCGATGGGTCGTCTTCACTTACACGGATCATTCGGTGTATCCCGCATGCTTGCCTGTTTCATCCTCATTTGTTGATCTATTGGTTCCAAAGCCCACGCGTTTACACATATATCTATACATGTATGTATATATATATATGTGTATGTATGTAATGTATGTATGTATGTATGTATGTATGTATGTATGTATGTATGTATGTATGTATGTATGTATGTATGTATGTATGTATGTATGTATGTATGTATGTATGTATGTATGTATGTATGTATGTATGTATGTATGTATGTATGTATGTATGTATGTATGTATGTATGTATGTATGTATGTATGTGTGTGTGTTCAATTTTTACATATATATATATATATACGTAAATCTTATATATGTGTGTGTATATACATAGCCAGCCCAATCCGAAATCCTCACGACGCCTGTTTTAACTGGTATTTGATGAGACTTCGTTTGAAGCATTGTTCCTCATGTTGTGTCTCCTTGGGGCCCAACTTGGTGTGAAGCTGTCGCCAAAGGGTCCCAAGTTGCACAATGTTGCACATGACCTGGACATCCATGTGCATCACATGGCTTCAATTTCGGGTCCATCGGATCGCAACTTCAGCCCAACATGACCAATTGCAACTTGGGCTCCAGTTCAGTCAGTCTAAGATAGCAGCCCCGGGCCAATTTTGCGGACTCAATGCGACACGCTGAAAACTTGCATTTTTACCGCTGTTCGTGCCAGGCCATGTTGCCCACATTGGGCCTGTCTTGGGCCCAACTTCGACGCCAGATGCCCCCACACAGGACCAGGTTGCGCAATGCTAAGCCCAACTCAGCAGAACTAAGTCGTGGGTCGACATGCAAGTGGTTTAGATTGGGAATGGTTTTTTCAAGGGAAAAAAATAAGAAAAAAAGAAAAACATGAAAACAAATAAAAGAAATGAGAAAAATGAAAAGAAATGACAAGAAATGAGAAAAAATGAAACGAAATGAAAATAAATGAAAAGAAATAACAGATTAAAAGGCACCAGGAAATGAAATAAACCATGAATGAAAACAATAAAACAATAAAACACACAATGAATGATAGAAATATGTGAACATTGGAAGCCACCATATTCCAAACATGAATTCGGTAGCGGTGATTGAGTAGAAACCTCTGAGAAAAATGGCAAAACCGCTCCAGACCGTTCAACATGAATAATAAACATGTGAAAGCAACATGAACCATAAACACGTGAAAAAAATGTCACTACAGACCACTACAGCATGATTTCTGGGATCATTGCATAGCGGTGGATTGAGTAGAAAGTGCATAACGGTGACATTGTTATTTTTTTCTTTTTTTCTCTTGGGTTTCGCGCCAGTGGGATAACCTGCATTTGGTTTTCAATTGGGAAAATGTTTCTTGAGGTCAAAAAATTGTTGTTGTCTTTTTCTTTTTCTTTTTCTTTTTTTTCTCTTGTTTTCTTTTTTCTCCTTTTTGTTTCTCTTTTCTTCTTTTTTTTGTGTTTTTTGACGAAAAAAATGTGAAAATATGAAGAATCATGAAGAAATGTGTTTTTAAAATGAAATCATATACGTGCTGCAAGGGTGTTCCTGGTGCGATGTGCTGTGGAAAAATCTACAATTGTTTGCGCTTTGGTGGCATTTTGGATCCCAGAGTCTTGTGTGGTCAGTTGTTGCGCGCCTTCATTTCAATTTCAGCGCTCACCCATGTCGTCTTCAGCGAATGGTCCTTTGGCCCGTACGGCCAAGCGTCATCGAGAGGTCAACCCAATGATGGCAGGAATGAATCCTTTCCATGCGTCCATGTTTGGTCCGGCCTTTGCATTGCTTGTCCCTACCCGTGCTGAATCATGCTGACTTTGTTTTGATGGATCGATGAGGTGCGTTGCTACACGTGACCAAAAACGACACTGGTTCCTGATGTGCCTTTTTTGTCAGTTGTTGGCAGACGTTTGGCACCGCGTGGCCAGCGTTGTCAAAAAAATCAGTCTTGATAGGCTTCAGCCTGAACAGATTAAACAGGATGAAGTAAAATCATGTGAATTCTATCTTTTTTTGTGTGTATATTATATTATTTCTTTTTATTTATGTTTATCTCTTTTTATTTCCTGTTTTTTCTTTTTATATCTTTTTTCTATCTTGCTATTTCTCTTTTCTGGCGAAAAAATGTTTTTACGATTTTAAATGTGTTTTTTTGATTTTCGGACAATCCAAACCATGTTGTAACTAACCTACTGCAACCTGCACCACCACTTAGTCTTGCTGACCAACTTGCATCCAAACGTGCCCAAGCTGCGCCATGCGTACGACCCCAGTTGGGCTCAAGTTGGGCCCAAGTTTCGGCCCAACTTAAGGCCAAGGACGGCCAAGTTTGACCCCAGTCGGCTTTTGGTTGCGCCAAGTAGGCCCGCTTCTTTCCTCTCTGTCCTATTTCCTGGGTGCGGGCGGTTCTCGTCGCGAAGCGACTCGAATATTACCTGTGGCATGTTAATATATAGAATAACCTATATGCTACGTATTTTAGCGTAGCTGTATAACACGTATGTTGTATATATATAGTATACGTACACATATATACACTATTATCTATACTCATATGCAGCATCAAAAACCACAACCAAACCTCCCACCATAGGGGCGAGGAGGCAACCACATACACTACCCAATCCGTAGTACTTATATTGCACTCTCTAAAAATTAAAGGACAAGGATAACCCCACAAGTCAACTTGTTCCAATAATGAGACACGAAAGCTGAAGCGGGACGGGGAAGGAAGGAAAGGCAAAGGAGGAGTGGAGGATCGATAATAGATAATCTAAAAAAAGTTGTACATGTGGCCGTGGAAGAGTTGTGTGTGTGTGTATGTGTTAGAAAGGTGTTATGTATGAGGGTGAAACAGTCGTGTGTGTGTGTGCAACAGTTGTGTGTGAGGAAGTTTTGAAATTTTTGCGCATGAGTGTGAGCAAGTTGTGTGTAAGAAAGTTGCGTGTAAAAGAGTTGTGTATGCAAGAGTTGCGTGTGCCACAGTTGTGTGTGAGAAAGCCGACCTCCCAAGCGACGCGGTGGAGAGCAGGGCGGGACGTTCAACAGTCGCATGGACCTGAACTGACCGGCCAGTGCTTCGGTGTGTGCCCAGCAAGCCCATAGCCCTTGCCGCATCTTGCCGCCATACTCGGTTGGAAACCGAGCGTTGGCCCCAAGCACAAACAACCGCGTCATACCGCACCCCCGGCCAACGAGGTGACAGACGACATCACGTCGGTCTGCTTGGTACAGGAGCACGCAGCAAAACATGAAACGAACCAGAATTGACACAACAGGATACAACAGGCATATGCGATTGCAGCAGATCGTGTGATTTGAGAGCCTCCTGCTGGACAATGCCCTGGCATGTTGCAGATTGCTTCATGCCTGCCAACCATCGGCATGTGCCCCGCAAAGCGCGTTAGCCCATGGCCCTTGCCGTCATACTCGGTTGGAAACCGAGCGTTGGCCCCAAGCACACACAACCGCGTCATCCCGCACCCCCGGCCAACAAGGTGACAGCCGACAATGCGTCGGTCTGCGCGACACATGCCCAGTGACGTCAAAACTAAACGATGCAAGGTCAAAGCTACCATTGCCGCAATCAAGATTGGAGAGGACCATGCTGCACTTTGGCTAACAACCAGCGCACATAACAGCTGTTTCAAAGCCGACGCACCCAAAGTGAAACCGAGCATGCAGTTTGGTGACAGCTGGCCCCCCACTTGACGAAGCCTGAGCACATTGCGCATTGCTTTGTGCTCACCGACGCGGCCTTCGCACAGATGCGTCAGAAGCGACCGCGTGTGCCCAGCAAGGCGCATTAAACCTTGCCGTCATACTCGGTTGGAAACCAAGCGGTTGGCCCCAAGCACACAAGACTGCGTCATCCCACACCCCCGGCCAACGAGGTGGCAGCCGACAATATGCATACAGGAACACATGCCCAGTGACGTCAAAACTAAACGATGCAAGGTCAAAGCTACCATTGCCGCAATCAAGATTGGAGAAGACCATGCTGCACTTTAGCTAACAACCAGCCGCACACAGCTGAGGAATAGACAAAGACAAAAGCGCACATAACCTCCCACTCGACGAAGCCTGAGCACATTGCACATTGCTTTGTGCTCACCGACACGGCCTTCGCACAGATGCGTCAGAAGCGACCGCGTGTGCCCAGCAAGGCATTAGCCCATAGCCCTTGCCGTCATACTCGGTTGGAAACCGACTGCTGGCCCAAGCACACAAGACCGCGTCATCCCGCACCCCCGGCCACCGAGGTGACAGGCGACCATAGGTCGCTCTGCTTGGTACAGGAACACATGTACAGTGACGCAAAACGAAGCGATCCAAGTGCTTCCACCGGCCAACTGGGTGATAGACAACCATAGGTCGCTTTGCTTGGCACAGGAGCTCGCGCATAGTCACGTAAAACTAGATGCAAGAGCGTTTTTTCCCACTTGGAATTCGGTTGGAAAAGACACGAGCATCGTGTCGAAGCTGGCACGGACAAACCGACGACACACGCATAGGCTCGATGAGATGCGCGGATAGGGACCTGGCCGCAAAGCCAGTGCGGATGCAATTGAATTGCGATTCACAGTGGTGAAAGGCGCCATGCAAGCACTTCTGCCCACGTTGGGTCGAAGCTGGCACAGAAAAATTGACGACACAGGCAAGCTTCGTCATGGGTGCCATGATCACAAAGAAGTTATAGGAAGACACCTGGCCGCAAAGCAAATGTGGACACAAGCAGAACAATGATAAAAAGCGATGCAAGATGAGTGCAACATAATTTGCCAAAGTTTGAAGCTAGTTGCAAGAAAATCGAAAACATGTCGATTCAATTGTTGGGATGAAGCGTGCCATCATCTTCAGTGGTGCATTGCTGGCCATCATCTCCGCATCGCTGTATGAGTTCCAAAGGAAGATTCATGTGCCGGAGTTCCACATGCAGATTCTTCAAGATACCAAGGCAAGCGTCTACGCGCTGCAGCGTCACTCGATAGTAGGTCTGGACAGCTAATGTAGTACGAGGAGAAATGGATCGTCGTTGGGCCCGGTCAATGTCCAGTGTGCGTCGGGCAGCTTCTAAGTTCTCAATCAGAGACTAGACCTCATGCTGCGCAGAGGTCTGCATCTGTTGCCATTCCATGGGCCCGCGACAAGGGCGCCAATGCGCAAATACAGATACCAGATTAGGGAATGAATATGATTGAGCCTGCGGAAAAACATGGTTCAATGAATCAATCATGAAGCAATCTGAAAGCTTGTTGGCACAGGGAAATTGGTCACAATCAATACCGTCCTGCTTGTCCTCTTTACAAGATGGGTTCAACACGATTTGCCATAGTTTCAATCCAGTTTTAAAAACATGGAAAGCAACAGCATTGGTACTCACATACGGCACGGCTATGCACCGATCTTTTTGGCAGCGCCAACATCATCTGCGGCGCATGCGGTTTCTTCCCACGTTGGGTCAAAATCAAAAATTGTCGATTCACGGTAAGTCTGGATGACCGATGCCTAGCTTTGCTGCAATGCCGGCAACGTCGATGAACGATTTTTCAGTTCCGCCCAAATAGAGAACCATTCTTGCCACTGGACAAAGACACCGTGCGCCTCCCGTATCCTTGCAAATCCTTAACGAGCAGACGCGCTGCTTTGTAGCAAGCTCTTGTGAAAGGGATCTGTTCTCTCTGCTCTTCCAAAATGTCAGCATCGGCCCAGAACCATCGTCTCCTGACAACGTCATAGCAAAGCCCCGGGAGAACAGTTCCTGATGCCAAGACAGCTTGCTCTGGTGTGAGGAGCGGTGGCACAAAACCATCAAAGATAGAAAAGATTCCCTTAACAGGTCTGGCGATGCAGCGGTCCACTGATGATTGACACTCATCAACCCGTGTTTCATGCTTGGCCCAACGAAATCGATCGAAATGTAGTCTACATCTAGACACTGACATTGGTTTCCTTGCACCTGTTGTCTTGCGAAACCATGCACCACGGGAACATGTGGTCCAACTGGAAGAGTCTCGTATGTGGCAGAAGCAAAAGCACGAGCGTGGAAATCCATGCAGTCCCGATTGTGCAGTGGGCCAAACCATTTGCAACACAGCCTGTATGTTTGCAGCACACAACTATCTCGCCTGCAACCCGCACCGAGCCAGGTCATTCTATCTTGCACTCGCCTGCGTCCTGCCAAATGTAAAATGATGTCATTTGTCTTGGCAAACTTTCTTCCACGGGTCGGGTTCGCAATCGCCCAACCTTCGCATGGAACTGGGACGATTTCACATGCTATCAACTCGCCCGGGTCCAACGTCACAAGGCTACGGGCAGCAGGCGCAAAAAAACATGGCACCATTCCAAGGTCACTCAGGCGCCATGGCATTGACTAGTGATGAAAGGAACACTGTCTGTCTTGACATTACTGTACAGATGTCGAGTTTCTGCTCTGGTGGCCTCTTACCACGTTGGTCCAAAGCGATCAGATCAGAAATAGGTGACCAAGTGGCGAAGCATCAGGCGTGGCACTTGGCAACATCCACCGTCACTTTGCGTGGCAGGCGTGACATCAACCTTCATTTTGCGTGGCAGGCGTGGCACTTTGGGCACTTGGCGGGCTCTGGTGGCGCACTGGCATGTCTCTCCATGTTTGATTGGAAGCGATGCTGGCATGTTTCGAATGTTTCGCTTTGGCCCACGTACGTGGGAAGCCCATTGGCACAAGTGCCACGCCCGCCACGCAAAACGAAGGTTGATGTCGCCAAGTGCCACGCCTGCCATGCAAAGTGCCGCGTCACTGGCGACCAACGGGCCCCAAGCGCGCCACCAGAGCCAGCCAAGTCGCACAAGTGCTATGCCTGCCATGCAAAAAGAAGGTTGATGTCGCCAAGTGCCACGCCTGCCATGCAAAGTGCCGCGTCACTGGCGACCAACGGGCCCCAAGCGCGCCACCAGAGCCAGCCAAGTCGCACAAGTGCTATGCCTGCCATGCAAAAAGAAGGTTGATGTCGCCAAGTGCCACGCCTGCCACGCAAAGTGCCGCGGCGTCACGGGCCACCAACGGGCCCCAAGTGCGCCACCAGAGCCAGCCCAGTCGCACAAGTGCTACGCCTGCCATGCAAAAAGAAGGTTGATGTCGCCAAGTGCCACGCCTGCCACGCAAAGTGCCGCGGCGTCACGGGCCACCAACGGGCCCCAAGCCACGCAAACTGCCGCGGCGTCACGGGCGACCAACGGGCCCCGCCTGCCACGCAAAGTGACGGTGGATGTCGCCAAGTCCCACGCCTGCCACGCAAAGATGTGTCGATGTCGCCAAGTGCCACGCCTGCCACGCAAAGTGATGGTGGATGTCGCCAAGTGGGAGCAAGTTGCGTGTGAGCAAGTTGTTTGTGACAAAGTTGGTGTGAGCAAGTTGTGCGTGAGCAAGTTGTGTGTGACAAAGTTGTGTGTGTGTGAGCAAGTTGTGTGTGACAATGTGGTGTGTGACAAAGTTGTGTGTGAGCAAGTTGTGTGAGTGGCAAAGTTGTGTGGTTGTGTGTGTGTGAGCAAGTTGTGTGTGACAAAGTTGTGTGTGTGACAATTGTATGTGACAAAGTTGTGTGTGAAAGATGGTGTGTGACAAAGTTGTGCATGTGTGCGTGTGTGTGAACAAGTTGTGTGTGTGTGAGAGGCAAAGTTGTGTGGTTGTGTGTGTGTGTGATCAAGTTGTGTGTGTGACAAAGTTGTATGTGACAAAGTTGTGTGTGACAAAGTTGTATGTGACAAGTTGTGTGTGAGCAAGTTGTGTGGGACAAAATTGTGTGTGGCAAAGTTGTCTGTGAGCAAGTTGTGTGTGTGACAAAGTTGTGTGCGTGAGCAAGTTGTGTGTGAAAGAGAGAGGAGGCAAAGTTGTGTGTGTGTGTGTGTGACAAAGTGGTGTGTGAGCAAGTGCTGTGTGAAAGAGAGTGTGTGACAAAGTTGTGTGTGTGTGTGAGCAAGTTGTGTGTGAAAGAGAGGAGGCGGCGGCGGAGGAGGAGGAGGTGGCGGAGGAACGGGATACAGAATCAAAAACAAGAACCCCACACAAAGATGTGGGGAATATATAAAAATATAGCAAGCAACAGCCCCAAGCTATAAATATATCCTTATATATGTGATATATATATATATATATTGTGTAGCACTACAACCGTGTGTATACATAATATATATATATATATATGTGTGTGTGTGTATGCTAAAGCCAGCAACACCGCCAAGCTACAAATATACCCTGTATGATATATGCATATATACATATATACATATATAAATATATATCCTGTATGTCTCTCATGGATAGCACTACAATCGTGTGTATATATAAATATATGTGTGTGTGAATTATTTAGTACTCTGTTTAAAAACATGTATATTCCATACTATATAATACATACATACTACCTAGTCTATCTAATTATCTGTATCTGTGAGTGTATGTATATGTCGATATATATATATATATATATGTATGTATGTATGTATGTATGTATGTATGTATGTATGTATGTATGTATGTATGTATGTATGTATGTATGTATGTATGTATGTATGTATGTATGTATGTATGTATGTATGTATACATATATAAGCCCTCTATTTACTATTCATCTGGCGCTAAGTTATCATACTTCTCATCCACCACTTATTGCTTCTTCCTTATACTTCATATTCAACCTCCACACCCCACCCCACCCGCCCACGCGAGGGATGGGGGGTGCCTGGGAAGATTACTGCAACTATTCCATCATTCCCAAAACATGAACATGTCAATCATCAGATAATCTTGGTACAATCCCCTCGCTCTCTCTCAAGCATTTTTGGTCAGCTCATGTCAGCTCAGCCACTGCGGTCGCTAGAATTCGCCCAGATACAGCAACACCCTCAGGTAATCAAACATAGCTACGCAAAAATCAAGCGTATGTATCTGATGTATCTGATGTTCCCATCTATAAACCTCCATAGTCACCCTCAGGCGCCCGCCCGCGCGGGTCCCGCATGGTCCCGCCTCAGTCCTTCGGCAATGAGCCAGACCTTCTCGTCAAAGTTCACCACAGTGGCCCCGGGGAACCTGCTTAAAACCCCCCTGTTGGGACTGTAGCCGGGACAATGGGGAGTTCACCATCAAAGAATGGATATATATATATATATATAGAGAGAGAGAGAATGGACCAGTATGTGGATGGTTGCGAAATCCATATAGAAATCCATATGGATTACCAACCGGATGGTTGAAACCCGAACTAAATAATGGGATAAACCATCTATCAACTGGTGCAGGATTTCGCAACCATCCACAGTATCACGTGAGATTAAGCGGATATAATATAATGGATTTATCCTCTGGAAAATCCCCTATGGAGATTTATTGCTGGGAAAATTAGCGAACTATATAAATGGGGGATTTTCCAGCAGGCCGCGTTTGATTACCATTACCGGGTAACCATCATTTACAGGGTGAAGTGTCGAACCGTCAAAATGATGGTTAGCTGTAAATGATGGTTACCCTCAATCTAAATAATGGGATATATAATTTCATCTGGTTACCTGTAAATATGGGATTTCCTAACCAATCAAAAAACTGGGGAAATAATGAATGATCACATATTATTAATATTATCATATAATATGATCAAATATGGCTCGGAAATGCCCGAACAACAGGTTTTGAAGGGAAATCATCGAAGTAAATGATGGGGAATTCTCCATTGACATACTTGATTGCCAGAGTGTAGTACCAGATGTACCAAATTTTGCTGCATATTCTTAGTTACTGTATATGAATCATGGAAATTCCAAAATATTGACAGTAAAGGAGTACCCTCCGCCAAATAAACATGGCAATGGAAACTCCTGATAATTTGAGCTTCCCATTAAAACATATGAAAAACCTCCATGTAGTTTGGGGGGGTTCCACTTCCAAGACTTTTGAGCCCTGGGTGATGAAGGGAATTCTCGCCGGCTGCTATTGAATAAGATGGGCGATTCCTGTAGCAAAGGAAGACATGGAAGTCCATGGCATCCAGTAGTGATGGAGCTCAAGTTGCCAATGATCATGCTAGGCTGTTGTGTCTCACGAGTGGTTGATGACATCCACGTGACCACCCCAGGTGGTCAGGTGGCAGCATCCATGGCAAGTAGATGGTTGACATATGTTGACATCATATGGTTTCTCTGAAACTAGGGCACCCCATTCCATCCCATGATTATCACAGTTTTTCTCATTGAAACTGCTCGAGACATCGAATACCCTCTGGTAAACTAACATAACTATGGAAAATCACCATTTTTAATTGGAAAATCAACTGTAAATGGCCATTTTCAATAGCTATGTTAAATCACCAGAGGTATTTCCCAATTTGCAGACAAACCCGTCTAGATCTGCGGGCGCTCACTGAGCCCCTCCAACGTTGACACCAAGCGGCACAACCACACCGGACAGCGCGCTGATCAAGACTTGCATGATCTCAGCAAGTCAATGGTCTTTTGTTGGGGGGTTTCAATGGGGGGTTCCTCATGTTTCCTCCAATGTAGCCCCAAAAAAATCATCCAAGTCAGACCACAAATTGTGGGGTTTCCGACACTAGGAGGTACCTCTGAATCATCCATTTTTTCGTAGGATGTTCCATTTCGTATTCTTCCGTACCCCCATGACTTAGGAAACCCCCAAATCATCCAAGTCATGGATCAGTTCAGTATCTGAAACCCGGTGACTTAACATGCCTTCACCCCCGCGCCGGCGAAGCAGGGCATAGCAGGGCACCCCGGCCACGATGTAACAGGCACAATGAGCAAATTGGATGACCACCCTGTCGATCCAGACAGCCCGAAAACCGTTGGTTGGGGGAAAATATGGTAAAATATGGTCGAAATAGCACTTTCACGTACTTCTTAGCCACTTTTATAGCATTTTTTTATATGTTTTTTCTTTGCTTCATCTTTCAGTTCAAAGCCCAAACCCAATTCTCCGGCGCGTTTTTGTGTGTTTCGTTTGTTGATGATCTGATGCAAATTGGCGTGTTGTCATTCTGTGGGATTGACTGGGAATAGGTATCAAATGGTATTTGATGGTAGAAGTGGTATCCATTGTTATCACACTTTTTCTGCCCTCTCGCTGGTTCTGTTGTGATTCTCGGCAGTTCTTCGTTGTCTGCCCTTCATGTTGTCGGGCAATGTGGATCTTGACTCATCCTCATGCCAAATTCCATGTGAATGGTGAATGCTGATGAAATAGCGACACGGCAAACGACCATGGTTTCTGATAGCTTCTCTGATTCTATATCTATATATCTCTATATCTATATATCTATATATCTATATATCTATATATCTATCCCCTTTTCCTCTGTTCAACTCCCATCTTTCTGGTTGAATAATAGACACGTATCAATTCAATATATATATATATATATTCGCTATTCCCCAACCTAAAACCAGCATAAACTCATAAATAAACTATGTTTGGGATGTTTCCCCTTAAGCATGATTCACGATGGCCTCGCGACGTGAAGTCCTAACAAAGGGAAAAAAACTCAACCAAATCTTTGCCGGCTTCCCTCCCCATCTTATTTTGATGGTTCCCTCCCTTTAGTCTTGGGAAAAATCGTCACTTTTTGGGGATCATTGGCGGGTCATCGATGGGGATGAAAAAAACCCAACCCCCAGGCCCCAAAACACACGCTCTGGAAACCATGGTAGAAACAGTACGTAGTAGAGAATGTCCACAGAATTGGGACCATCTAGGAGTTGTTTAATATCAGGGGAAAGGAATTAAGCACCAACCATTGATGTCTGTAAAAAGTAAACTCAGGTGCTATCCCCAACAACTTGAAAGCTTCTGCGTGTTTGCCATAAAAAAGGCTTATGACATCAAAATTAAGCGCTTATGCCATAAAAATGAAGTGCTTATGCCAAAAATAACATCAGAACCCTTTGGAATTTCACAAAGAATCTGCACCAGAACCCTCCGGAACCTCACAAGGTATCTGCACCGGAACCCTCCGGAACCTCACCCAGCATCTTCTCCGCCAAAACCCTCCGGAACCTCACAAGGTCTCTGCACCGGAACCTTCCGGAACCTCACCACGCATCTTCACCTAGACCCTCCGGAACCTCATCAGGTAGCGGCACCGGAAACTTCCGGAACCTCACCAGGTACCTGCACCAAAACCCTCTAAAACCTAACCAAGTATCTGCACCGTAACCCTGCGGAACCTCACCGAGTACCTGCACCGGAAACTTCCGGAACCTCACAAGGCATCTGCACCGGAACCCTCCAGAACCTCACAAAGTATCTTCACCAGAACCCTCCGGAACCCTCACGAGGTATCTGCACCGGAACCCTCCGGAACCTTGTCCAGAACCTGGTGTTGAAGCTGCACTGGATCGCACCGGAGCTAATCTGGGCTAAAGACCCCATAGCCATAGCAAAGTTTTGCCGTTGGGGAAAACCAAAACAACTCTCCACACCTTGCAAATTCGGGCAGGTCAGCTGAAAAGCGCTTGATCTGATCGTTGATGCCCTGGTACATCAGCACCTCGAACGCCAAAGCAGCAGAGTTTTTGGGATGATAGAAATAACCATGGTAGAGATTATCTGATTTTCTGTATTTACGAAAATATCCCTCAGTAATTGAACATAGCCATGGAAAATGGGTCATAGATATCCATGGATTATTTACATCTTTACCTATTCAACATGATGATTTTCTTTATGTTAAATAAGCCCCAGGGTATCACCGGACACCAGGGGCTCGAAGCACCCAAGCATTCCCAAGTGGCGGCCCTTGGCCCCGGACGGCGGAGAAAATGGACATGGTCATACCTTGAGATCCCAGCGATGGGAAATCTTGGGGGTCTTGCCGCAAGCCAAGTTGGACTTGCCGGTTACATGAGTTGACGATGGACATCATTCCTCCCATGGCCTGAAAAAAGACCCTCAGATTCAGTGGATTCCACCAGCGTGGTCGAGTCATCCAGTCAACATGCTTGACCGCTCCAAAGGATGTCAAGGACCATCCAGGGCCCCGTATCTTAGAACCGAGTGCATCTCATCAGGAACTTCAGGAATCACTGACCAAGCAGAACACGGATGGCTGCAATGATGCCATTTCCTAACAAGAACCATCCCTGCTATAGTATCCAACATGGCCAACCTCAGATTCCTTAGTATGCCTTGGTGCATGGAAAATCAATCATAATAAATCATCATAAATCTGGTTAGTTTAAACATCTATATCCCCCATATGTCCCCATTCTTCTGAACATTCAGAAGCCATTTTCGCTCACCCCTACTGATCCTACCCCTACCCCTGACTCGCTATCGCAAAAAATCGCGTAGCGCTTAACACTTCGGCCCAGGTGCTGATGATGTTCATTGAATAGTAACGGATGTCGTCATCATCCCAATTTACCTCGTGGAGCCGCTGGAGGCTTCGAGGTTCAGGAAACGCTGGGGAAAATCATCGGAAGATCCGGGCAAATCCGGGAAGAGCATGAGGCTTTCCATGGGAAAAGCCTCTAGAAATGGAGACGAACCTGGGAAATTCCTCTAGAAATTATTAGATCTAATTGCCATGACTACAGGAGGGGACCCAGGGATCCATCAATGAATCCAAGCTTCGCTACAGCAGTCTACCATGTTCCAAGGTTTACACACCGTGAAACCGGTCAACCTGAGATAAATTGAGCACGATTAACTGGGTAAACAATCAATAAAGATAGATTGATATAAACCAAACTGAACAACCATCAGTCTACATCACCAAAAAAAACATCAATCACTTTAATCACTTTATCCAAAATTTAAGTCAAATTAACCTATCCAAACTGAACATATGTTTCATCAACAGTATTTTACTTGCTTTCAGCTGCCTGCATCCCCATGGTAGAAAAAAACAAAAAGCATCCCATGACGATTCCAGCAATCCATATGGCTGATTTATGACATTGTTTTACCAGCATTGTGTATAACATATCATATATATATAATTGTATATATATATACTCCGTGTGTGTGTGCAGGTGCATGTATATGATTGTAATTATTTGTATGTTATTGGCCATTGGCAAATATTAATATAAGTTGGTTCATTCGCCTATCAATTTCCATGTCTGTTGGTCATGACACCATTTTCCCCTGTGTTTGATGTGTTCAGGCAGGTTCCCGCCACAACAACCTAGAGCTTGTTTGCTGTTTTCTTTTTCTGAGGGAGATCCGCATCCGCCAAACAAACCGCAGATTCAGCTGACAGTTCGGCAGTTCCGAAAAGTTCCTCAGTGCCCCAGCCAGATAGAAGAGAGAGACCACAAAGATCACAGCCCCCAAGAGCATATAGGCCACCTGGCGATGCCCAGATGCCAAACTTCCATGTTAACTCGGAGATGGAAAAGATGCCGCTTTTTTGGGTATGACCTGGTATGACCTACAAATATGGTGCCTTCTTGTGGGTTTCCCATCATATCCGCTTGGCTTTAGCTTTGCTGCAGCTTGTTGGGATAAGCTTCACGCAGTCATCACCCGGACATCACAACCACCCCACAGGAGGCCGCCTCGCTGTCAGCTTCTGAGGGAATCAGCTCCTCCTCTTCGCCCTCTTCTCCTCGGTGTGCAGGGGGCTTTGGGGGAGGCGCATCATACGAATCAAATACGAATCGTCCAGGTTATATATTAAGACCCCCAACTCGGGCTCTCCCCATTATTCAGTTTTTCGTAATAAATGTACATATTATATATATATGTATATACACTTGTATATATATATATACTTTTATTATCTTAAATATAAATTTATATATATAATATATAAAAACGGGAAAGTATAGTTGTGAAGCATACTTGTAAACCAAGTTGCTAAGTGGAATGCAGTACTCGTCCAAGGGGTTAGTAAGCCAGCTACAAATCCCTCCCTACGGGGCATGTCTGATTTGTCCATCCGGCTTTAATGGGATGGCTGCCATAAACCTACCATGACTGGGGATGGTTTCAATCCCACCCATTTATGGTGATACTAGAGATGGTTTATTGTTGGGTTGACCAGGTTGACCACACTAATATGCATCATTCATGATACTCCTCGGAAAACTCAGAAAATTTAACATAGAAGCCATCTCGGCATCAAAGTGAGCTATTCTGAAGCAGAAAATCTGCAGGCTGACTTGATCCCTTCACGGGGTGATCTTAGAGGCTTTCACTTCGGATTTTCAAGGGGCATGAAATGCGCTTGTCATGTCCGAAAATGTCCTAACTCCCCTTTGTGGCCGGGAAAATACATGAACATCCACGAAAATAGGGGAAGTCTCCTCGGAAATTCCGATGAAGCATTGTGAGACAAAGATTTTTTTCCATTTTCAGACAAAGATTTGACGAAATCAAAATATCCGCGAACAGCTGGTAGATTTTTGGGCTGGAAAATGTTCTCAGGAGCATCGGATCTCCCAAACATCGGTCTTCCATATACCCAGAGACCATCAAAGACCCATCTGCCAGGAACAAACTTGCACAACCACAGTTGAAGCCTTTTTCTTGTGCTCGCTGCAGTAAACTTTCGCAGTTAGATGTGAAAAGTGATGAAGTTGAATTCGAGGCAAGTATCCTTCTGCTCCTTCAGCCTCTGCTTCTTCGCTACCTTCCGCTTCTCCACTTGTGGCTTCCGCCTCGCCCTCAATTGCAGACTTTTCACCTGGGTCAGCCGCTAGATTCCTAGATGCTGACAGCTATGGGATGTTCACCCCCCATCCATAGGGTCCCATAATCCCCAAGAATCCGCAGGTCTTCCCTGTTTTTCAGCCTGGTGTTCAGCTGCTATTCTATCCCATGGGGGTGACTGGTGCCACGGTACCTGTGAACCTCTTTTTTGTTGGGTCGTGGGAATAGATTTTTTTGTGAAATCTTCAAGAGACTACCTTGAAAACCACCATGATTTTGCTGGGTACATTCCCTATTTTTCTTGTTTAAATCAACTTAAATCCCAGTTTTGAGGTGCATTTGACCATCCAATGGATGACAGGTTCCAATCTAATCCCATTCTTTTCTCCTGGCTCACACCCTTCTGAAACCACATAACTGGCAGAGTTACCAACCGTTTACTAATGCACTACTGAAATCACATCCATCCTGGTTTATTCTGAATTCCCATTTCTTCATGGTGGATATATAGATTATAGTTATAGTAAATGAGTAAATCCCATTGATTGTCATTTTTTCTACGCAGACTACATATCGCAATTCCAAAACTGAAGTCGTTTAAACCATGGCGAAGCTGGCGCCGAGTACATGGTGCTGCAGCTTTGGGGTTCACCACCTTGATGGTTGGACCAATCCGGGCTCGGTGGGTGATATTCTGTTGGGAAACATGGTGAAAGATGGTGAAAACATGTTAAACATCAAGGGTCCCATCAGTCCCTCTTATGGATTATGTGAAATGATTTTTGGACTTTATCATACGTTATCCATCTTGATCCAATGGTTGTTGGTTTCGATCCTGATGTTCGTCGCTAAACAATCCCCATGTTCGGCGTATGTTTGACTAGTCAAATCCTCATGTTTGATCGATTCAATTTGTTGGTGAAAACGATCGATCTTTGTGAGTTGAATCCAAATCTCTCTCTCTCTCTCTATGGTACCCCTTGTTTGGGGGCCTGAAATGATTGTTCCTTTTTCGAAAGGCCATAACTCGGAGGTGAATTGATGTTTTTCCCCCGTTTGAAAACACCCCAAAGATCTGGTTGATGATTCCCTTATATCATACCCATACGATAATCCCCACACTCTCCCATTATAGCACCATGTTTGCTCAAATCCGCATGACTTTGTAGCTATGTGTAATCTTCCCTCCATATCCTGACTTTTTCCAGTGACCTTCTGCGGCCACTTTGTCCTCGCTCGCTCCTTCACCCTCGGCAGGTTGCTTGTCCTCCGCCTCCTGTGTCAGGGGGATCCGATTTCTCGTAAACTTGGGTATAGCTGGATAACGCTAAGCGGATAATAGGAATATAATTAATAATCATGATAATGATAATGATAATCATCATCATCATCATCATCATCATCATCATCACCGCCAGCACCATCATCATCATCATCATCATCACCATCACCATCATCATCATCACCATCATCATCATCATTATCTATCATCATCTATCATCATCTATCATCATCTATCATGTATCATCTATCATCATCATCATCATCACCACCATCATCATCATCACCATCATCATCATCAACATCACCATCATCATCATCATCATCATCACCATCATTCATCATCATCTATCATCATCTATCATCTATCATCTATCATCTATCATCTATCATCATCAACATCATCATCATCATCACCATCATCATCATCTATCATCTATCATCATCTATCATCATCTATCATCATCACCATCATCATCATCACCATCATCATCACATCATCATCACCATCATCATCATCACCATCATCATCACTCATCATCATCATCTATCATCATCTATCACCATCATCTATCATCACCTATCATCATCTATCATCTACCATTTATCATCTATCATCTATCATCTATCATCTATCATCATCATCATCATCATCATCATCACCATCATCATCATCACCATCACCATCACCATCATCATCACCATCATCATCATCACCATCACCATCACCATCACCATCATCATCATCATCATCATCATCAGCATCTATCATCATCTATCATCATCAATCATCTATCATCTATCATCTATCATTATATAATGTACATAACTAAGGGAAAACCATGGAAAACCTATGCGGACACATGCTGCAAAAATTGGTCAACTGACTTTCAAAGTCGTCGACTCACCATGGATGAAGCCCAGCGGCTTGGTTGGCCGGTCCAGGGCAAACCTCCAATGGGGGGTACATTTCATAACACTAACAGTTTGCGAACTTGAACATGGCCCAGCTCGAAATAGTGGATTTACCATGATTTACCCATGAAAATAGCATTTTGTGATTTTCCAGTTCGCTATGTAAACGTTTACCAGAGGGTAAATTCAGGATGGTTTTCATGATGCGGCTTTAGCCCACAGTATTCCCATCTCTGTGGAAAAATCTCCATGATAGCCCCTTTTTGGTTTTTCTATATCTTTCTGGTGACAAATCCGTTTGGGCAAATATATTCAATGAATCCAAATTGTTTGTTCCCGAAGCCCCCATACCCTCCCTTAATTGAACATGACGATTCATGATGATTGAAAATCACCATTTGTGGATGATTTTCCCATTAAACCTCCATTTAGTTCGGGGTATGTTCGGGGATTTCCCATTGCCATGTTTGACTATCAGATATTACCAGAGGGATTGAAAAATGGATGTATCACTTAGCAATGGGCCATGATGGGCGCTTTGCTCCTCGTCTAGAGTGGATCGTAGTGGGACAAAGTCATCCTGCCGTTGTTAGCAGCCAGATGCAGTGAAGAAGTGTGTAATTAGATATAGTGACCCCCTGTGGAACATATAAAAATAGCGTTTTTTTGCACAGTACATGCTTGTCATCACCAACCAGATTGGTAAACAATGTCCTATAATGCCCGTGTTCCTAGCTTATGTGCAATATCTGCTCCAGTCCATTGGCAAATTCTCATGAGTTTACCAGTTTACCAAGCTACTAATTGATGCTTTCAACCCCTTACAGCAACATTAGGGACCATCATCCCAAATATGCATAGATATGCTAGAAACAAACTTGATACCCCCAGATTAATTGATGGACATGGTGATATTCCATGGGTTCCATGGGCATCTTCCAGAAGATAGCCACTCGGAGGGGAAAAAAACAACAACATGCGAAGCTGCGAAGCCCAGCCATGCCTCTGATCCTCAGTGCGGGACAATGGACTCATCCCTGTGGACTGGCCTTCCATGATAGAATCTGTTGTTGTGTCAATGGCCATTTCAGGAACCGATTTATTGGAGGTACCTACCATATATAAATATATATAAGGCCCTTTTTGAGGCCTTAATTTCAGGGAATATGCCAGCAAAATATGGCCAAAAATATGGTACTAACATAATTACCTCCATTTTAGGATCCTGAAATTTCGCATGGACCGTGTATGTAAAATACCGTTTTGGCATCCAGGTTCTGTCTGGCTTTGTCCAAAAACCTCGTGGTTTCTTTTTTTGGATTCCTGAGGTCCCACACGGCCAGCACGTAGCAAGCTGCCTGGCCCTGGGATCGCAACGCGAAGCTGGAGATGAAAATAACCATATACCCTCTGGTAATTTGTTACAGTTTGCGAACTTGAAAATGGCCGATTTATAGATATTTATAGTGAGTTTTTCCATTAATAGCATGGTGATTGTCCATAGTTTTTTGTATGTTTACTAGAGGGTATGATATATGAATGAGATATGAATGGAATCATGGAATATCGATTGGATATGAATTGAAGATGGATGGAACATAGGTTTATACTCTATGGATCTCTATGGTAATTTAATAGTTTGCTATGGAAGCCGTGGCCCATTTAGATCCATTTAGTACGTTTCCATGGTGCACTATTAAATGACGAGAGAGTAATTATATGTCACTATGTATTCATGGTAAGTGTTCATGTCATATCCATATGAATGTGAAGCTGAAAATAATCGGGCATTAGTCCAGTGACTGAGGCTGAAATTATGGTTACTATGGATGTTAGGACAACTGATACTGACAATCATGCTGCATGCTATTATCTAATCATGCATAATTACAGTAGAGTAATTGATATTGACGAATGATTGTCATGTTACGACAACTGATGATCATGATTCATATTAACATTGAGTAACGGGAGACTTTGACTGGACATTGCATCACAGTAAATCAATTTGCCAAAAGGATCCAAAAGGTAGGTCTGCAATATTTTCACCCATATACAACATAGATGTTCATATACACTGAGATCATCGATGATGTTTGAACACTATTGATGATAACAGTAACATGATCGTGACCAATGGATATTGTGATGTTATAATAACTAAGCTGGTTCATCATCCTTCTGATATCAACCACTCATCAATCGACCATAAGCCAATATTCAGCATCACCTTCGAGAGCTCTCGTTGGTTGAAAACGGTTTCCCTACTATGGGTCATCATAATCCCCAATAGATTAGCTAGTACAAGTCCCATGTCACAGCCAACCTAATCATTAATCAGCGAAGTGGGATTGAATCTACTAGTATATCTAGTATATCTAGTATATCTAGTATGTGGTTGGGATTGGTTGGGAAACTCTTGGTAGCTCCGAACCGCTCACCATTTAAAAAAAGGGAATATGAAGCTCCCCTCAAAACGCTCCGAACGCTCCCTCCGAACCGCTCCCTCCATTCACCACTGGATTGCCTATCTATTGGGGATAAACTATGATAAACCTATCCGCTCATTTCGTTTTAGGACCCCCAGATGTGTCGGGGTTGAAAAACGGTTGTCAGGTCGTCAGGTCGGAACTCACCAATATCAATTTTTTAAACGTACCATGTGGGGATGGGCTCAATCCTACCAAATGATCGTCATTCTGGGGATGATTTACTTTTGGGTGCACCACATCGATGAATAATAAGACTTCACTGATAAAAATTTTGATGAGTTTGGGATATTGTCTAAGCATTTCAGTTCATCCCCTTTGTGAATTCTCCAATTTGGATGTTTAACTACAAGAAATTCCACGTTTCGCCGGTCATCGGAAGCACGCCTGACACTTTGGCTTCCAAGAGGGAGACCTGGCAAGCACACGGTGGAGCAAAACCCGCGGGATCTTAACCCCCAACAGCTGGGATATAACCCCTATTAACTATGGCTGTACATCCACCTATAACTGGAACTGCACCTCCAAGTACCTAAGGTAATGATGGTTTAATCAAACTTAGTCAAACCTGTTCCATTTTTTTAGCTGCTGCATGGGGCTACATGGGTATAATATGTTTGTAACCATCAATAGCCATCATCTATCATCATCAATTACATTTTGAATGAACTGATGAACCCTGAGACAGGCATCAAAACAATAACCGTTGAAGTCCCAGTTAAGTCCGCTGTGAATGCTGCTAATGCTGCCAGCTCTGCCCAAGCTTCTTTGGAAGATCCAACTGTGTGCTGATTGCATCATAATCGTCAGAATAGAAGTATGCGGAACGACAGATCATCCTTACACCCAGAAAACCCATGAAAAATCGAAAAGCTGGTTTGAACCCTGAATTGTTGATTCTCACTACAAACTGGTGAGGAAAATGAGTCGCTAAGGACTTTTTCGGGACCACGACTCGGGAATTGGCTTGGCTGGGACAGTTTCCCAAGTGTGACGCGCTCGAAACCCTAAGCCCCAATGTTATTTTCTGACATGAACCCCCCAATATTTGCGCAGTTAAATCGACGTTTTTTCTGCCTAGATCTATCTAATTATATATTTAGTATATATATATGATATGTATGTGTTTATATATATATATATATGTTTAATTATATATGTTTGCATAATCTTGCCAGTAAATTCCACATGTTTGGTCAGCGAAGCTTAGACTTAATTTTTTTCTTCTTGGCATGGAATCATGCTAAAGCTGCTAAAGGCTTTGGATGGGGGAAAGATCAACTTTTCCCAATTCTTAAAGGTCCCAGGCGCCAATAGCAGCAGCAGGCCCAGACTCTTAGCCATCACCGTCGAACGTCCCCGGTTTGGCGGCGGGGTTTGGATGGGACGTGACGCAGAGCTAATGCTGGAGCCGTAACGGTGGAGTAGCTACAGATTGGCCACCAGCCTTTTTTGATTGGGTTTGTTGAACCAAGATCTAGAATTTTGATGGATTTTGTAGACACAATGAGACGAGATCAGTTTTCGATGATACTCATGACTTGACGCCATCGCCAGAGAAACAGTCGCGAACTCCAAGCTTGTCTATGTATCTTGACCATCCGAGAAGTTTCAACGGTTTCGCCCCCCCCTTTCCCACATTCTCCGTCCGGTCAGCCGATTTTTTCCCAGCCAAGCAGTCATCAAGGCAGTGCTGGGCTAGAGGCTCCCCTGGCAATCGCCCAATAAGCCAGGTTTCTGAGGGTATTTCATCGATTTCTGATGATAGGATGGGAGTACTCTAAACCTATTATACGGATGGACGGATGGTTCAGACCTCTGATTTCGAGTGAAACTGAGAATTCTTTACAATTGCCCACATTGCCAACGACTTCCTTTTGGATCCTTTTGGGACAAATGGAGATGGTTTTGTATGCCATTCCTCATCCCTTAAACCCCCTCTATGAATCAACCAACCACTTGAGACATATCTACAGGAAGATACCATGGATGCAAGAATATTTGATATTGGGATAGGACGTGTAGATACAGTATGTCGAACGCCAATGTCGCTTTAACAAAGTTTTTCTCACATGGCAATGGCATGTGAGACTCCTGGCACATGCCACTTGCAAAACAGTGGAGTAAGTCTGCAAGGTGAGGACCCCCCAGTTACAAGCTGGTTGACAAAAACCCATGATAGTCGACGATCGCATTCTATCCCTCATAAATTCTGTAGTTAATCAAGTTATATGTCAATTTAGCTATCTAGGATTCGAACAGGAGTCTCACCTTGTGTTTACATGAGCCCAGATTAAAATCCCCTTGAAACAATTTTCAAATCATCATTAACCATCATTAATCCACTATTAACCATGACATTAACCATCATTAACCATCATTAACCATCATTAACCATGGTTTTCAAATGGTCAAATTAGGAGCCATGATCTTCCCAGTGCCCTGGCCGCACCTAGGACTTCGACTGCGACTCCGGCCTAGGAGTCCCATAAGGTGAGGCCTGCTGGTTGGCCTTGGGGGGATAGAACTACCAACAGTTCGCGGAAAGATCCACCATGCTATTAAGAACGGTAAACCGAATCTATTTCGATTAGGCCATCTATATATACCATGGCGAACTGTGAATGTCATAACCAGGTTGGGTAGAGTTTTTCATGATTTTTTATGGCCTTCAACCAACAAAAATACCTGGTGGCCTCACCTTCCAGGCGCCATTTCCCCTTGTGGAACCCAGGTGCTGCGTCTTCCCTCAACGACTTGGATCTCCTGCACTGGGAATTGGAACGGAAAGATATGTGTCACGGCAAAAAACGGCAGTTTCATGAAGTTTCAAGATATGTGTCACGGCAAAAATGGGATGTTCATGGGATAGAGTGGATCTTCATGGAGCGTAAGGATCAACAATTTGATTGACCAACCACTTCCAGTGGGTATTGACAAACCAAATTGACCAAGATCAACGAGGATACATCAGTAATTCCCCAAAGATGACAATGCAAACGACATAGTTTGGTAAATGGGAACAGTTAGTAACCCCTGCGATTTTCACACATAGTCTATGTGACTTTGCAACAGGATCTTTGCTCCTTCTCAAGTTCAGGGTTGCGCCCAACACCCCAGATACAACTGGATGACAATTACTAACCAATCTAACTGCAAGTGATTTGGGAAAAAGAATGTCCAAAACTCATCCTCAGTGTCATCTAAGTGTCACTACAAATCACTACAGATCACTACAGATCACTATAGATCACTGATAAATAGAAAGACAAAAAGATATGTATTTCATGTCAACCCTGGATTAATAAACCCCAAACGGCTGCTTTTTTTGGGGGGGTACCATTGAAGTATTGGATGATGACTATTGGAGGAGTATCCCCCTAATCATCCAGCCGATTCGACCAGCTGGGCTCCCAAGCATCCACGAAACCCGTCATGAGCCGCCGGGAGGCCTCGGGAGAAGATCCATCCAGGCTTGCATATACATATTGATATATAGTGATGTAATGATATATATATATGTATATATTATTTATATTATATATATATATATATCATTACATCACTATATATCAATATGTATATATACATTGTATTGTGTATCAATATGTATTATATCACTATATATCAATATGTATATATCATTACATCACTATATATCACTATAGGTGTATATATATATACAATGTATTGTATTGTGGCATATCCATGCATATCCATGTGTGCCTTTGATACTTACCATGTGCACATCCGTAAAAACACTTGTCTGGAACGTCAGCGCAGCCTTTCTCCCACAGATTCGGACGGCTCTCGGCTCCATTTCAGCCGTGAGCCTTCTTCGCTGACGCCACGGTACTGTACAAAACCTTGATTTCTCCTGGAACGCAAAAAGAATGGGTCAGACATGTTTCATGTCCACAATCAGCACTTTCAGAAATCTCTAGAAAAGAAAGAACTTGTGACAAACGCACGACAACTACTACATGACTGTTCTGCTGATTCTGCTAGATTTCATCCTCCCTCTCTCTACATGTCTCTTACAGACAGATATAGTCACGCATATATATATAGTATACATATTTATATGTGCATATATGTACATAGCAAACAGCGGTGCTGTCCGTTGTACCCAGCGCTCCATGTGTTCTACCACTTAATGAAGTAACAGTGTCGGGGATGCCAAATAAATGAGGACATGGTTGAAGGCTTCAAGATTAAGCCGCCGTGTCAATACACTAAAAGTTGCTGCTGCGGCACTGGATCGTTTTCTTGTGTCCGCACATAATTACAGCCTGCGTGACACCACGGCTGTTGACATGTTCATCTTCCTTCATTGAAGTGTTTTGCGTGTTGAAACACACAAGTGCGGACTGCACAGGCGCATATGCATCATGGGCTGTTGTTAGTCTCCATTGCCTCCTTTTTTGGGGAAAGTATTGAACAACCCGCTAAAACCACGATGAAGAAACATGTATCAAAATTTCAAAAACCGGTGAACAAATAAGAGAACGTGTTCTTTTAAACCGGCCCCAAAAAAATGAGATCACTTTCAGGTTCCAGGCCTTAGTGGTTTATGGGAGGCGGCCCTGCGCCGGGTTTCAGGCCCCGCGGAACCGCGGATGAGTCACAGTTAGTTCGATGCCAAAAAAAAACCTCGGTGCATGGCGGGACCTTAAGGTGAAACCAACGGATGATGCATCGACAGTTTCAGGCCGCGGGAGTGTTCTGCAATTTCGCACCCAGTTGATGTATGTCCATGCCCAACGAGTTATGTAGTTACCCGGAAAAAATCAGAATCGCCCTTTTTGCGGGCTTCATCCCAATGCTTTGTGGTTACATCGGCTTTTGATACAGACTGGGCGAAATGGAAAAGTCCCAAATCTTAAATAAATCCATTTTCGGTGGTTTTCCTTTATTAACAAAGACCTATGACCTATGATGAGGTTGTATACATACATAGGTCGTTGATGATTCAGCCAACCTTTCGTCGTTCATGTGGCAGCCAGTGGGACCATGCGATGCTCATCCATCATTCCCTGGAAATGACACGTCACTCAGCTGCATAGACGTTGATTTCGCCTCGAGAATGGCACGGTTTTTGTCTCCACGGGAAGATGGTATGACATTTCGGGTTCCCAATGGTTCCAATGATGGGCAAATTTTGGCAACCGATCCGCACCTGGAGGTAACACGTCCGACCAGCTCACTTCCCGGGCCTTCGGCTTGCGGCAAGTGCCACTTATAATGGCCAGTGTGGTTGCTTTTCAGGTATGCAAAATAACACTACAAAGAATGATAATTACAATACTTATAACAACACTAATTAATCTAGTTCTCATCTACCTAGTCGGCTATGTAAATCTATCTAAATCTGTCCAAATCAATTCAATCTAAATCAATCTATCAATCAATCTATCTATCCATCTATCTATCTATCTATCTATCTGTCTGTCTGTCTGTCTGTCCGGCTGTCTGTCTGTCTGTCTGTCTGTCTGTCTATCTATCTATCTTTTGATCTATCTAGCTACCTGCTCACCTCCTAATTACTCTATGCGTATCAAACATGTCAAAACATCCATCTAAATGGTAATTCTATATCTATACAAGTCTATGTGTAAATATGAAGTCAGTACATATAATCTAGACATCGGTGGTGGTCAAAGACTGTCAGGTCCGGATTGCTGATTCAGTCCCATTTTTGAGACGAAACAATGTCTTCAATTTGCTGATTTGGCTGAAACATCCAATGCTTGTCAGCAAATCCCTGTTTCGGCTACATCAAAATGTTGCCGAAACAATCCCTATCAAAATGATGCTTAAATCCCCATGGCAACCTTGAATCCCTTTGAGGTAAGTACAATCAATCATAGTTCATCAAAGGTCAAAAAAATCGTCAGTCATCAGAAAAAAAAAACATAGTTCATCATACTATAATCATTAAATTGTATATATATATGTGCAAATATATGTATATATGTATATATAAAGGTTACCATCACTAAAGATATGTCTTGTTGCATCCCAACAGCTGCCCAGCCTGGACCTGTGCCATAACATCTCTCATGGATGGCCAGATCTGCCTTCCGCACAAAATTGGATGAAACCTTTGATGTTCATATCATGCGATATGACTTGTATCAATAATGTCCTAAAATGGTAAAAATAGAGGGGCCGGGAGCTGGTATACCATCTATCATCATAGAAACGTGTTGTTAAAGGGGTAAACCTTCAAACCATTTCAAACCCCTTTATTAATCGACCAATAGGAAAAGGACATCTACTCTCTGGTAACATAGACCCCGGCAGATAGGGTTTGGAAGACTAGTTTCCACTATAAATTGGTCATTTTCAGGGTCTATGTTAATTTACCAGAGGGTATGACTTGTATTATATGATTATTGCATATGATTGATGAATCATTGACATTGAATTGGGTCTCAACCAAAATTGGTATCCCAAGAAATGCATCACGATTGACAATGGGATTGATGATTGACTCGGCATCCATCTTTCACGAAGTTGTCTTTGTGGCAAAGGAATTTATATAAAAGGACGGAGCTGTTCGCACCTCCCTTAAATTTAATTTACCCAAAGAAACCGTGACTTACCTGGTAATGAAGCATGAGATTAGGTCTAACAGCAACATGCATGAGATTGGGTCTAACAGCAACATGCCAATGATGTTGCAATAGTAACATGGTGTATTACCTAGTATCTAATAGATATCATCCATAGTAACATGCCAATCATCTTGATAGGCCTTTACTATTACCATCTGGTTATTTAACAGTTCGCCATGGAACGATCCACCATTTTTAAGAACGGTAAACCATCTATTTCGATTAGGGCCATCATTTTCCATGGCTATGTAACAAATAACTAGAGGGTATATCCCATTAAATCCCATTAAACCACCATTTTCCTATGGTTTTCCTATGGTAAATCGCGGTGATTTGATAAACCACGACATCGATCGGATCGGATCCGCACCCTTGGCCATGGCAAATGCGACACACGCCGGTACCTGCCGCCAGCTCAACGGGACGAGGCTCGCATGGTTTCCAGTCCAGTTTGGTGCTGGTTGGTGGTTGGTATCGCCTACCATTGGTTGGGAATATACTGTTAATATTAATGGTTAACATTAAATATTAATGGTTATTATTAATGGGGTTAATATTAATGGTTAATATTAATGGTTAATATTGATGGTTATTATATGGTTAATGATGGTTAATAACCTGGTTGGTGGTAAAACAAACCCCTTTGAAAAATGATGGAGTGAACGTCAGTTGGGATGATGAAATTCCCAACTGAATGGACAGTCATAAAATTCCATGGTTCCAAACCACCAACCAGGCTGATGTGGTCACTATATGTCATCGAAAGGACATATTGAGATCATCACAAGTAGGGATTGAAACTTGCCGCAAGAACTGGAACAGTATTAGAACGTACTGCAAACCACAACATAGCATTAACAAGTGCAAAAAAATCAATGAACCAACGAGTAAACCAGCCAAAACAAGCATAAAACAGCTCCCAGTTACGTGACTGTTGGGTCCTTTTTTCCTGCTCGCAGTTACGGCGTTTCGACTCAACGGCGAGCAGCGAATCCGTATCTGGTGAAACTGTGGTGACCGGTGAAACAAGTCGCAACCCGCAGCCATGGAGCAGGGAAACTGGCATGAAACTGGCTAGTGACCATATATTATATTCATGTTTAGCTGCTACCTCTGCACATCCAGATGTGTATACAATTTACGCCATTGGTGAGCGGATTAATGTTGTATCCTGATTAGTAGCTAGGTTCGCTATTGTGCCAAAGATGTTCCAAATTATTCTGAACCCATGCATTGTTAGGAAGGCTCACTATTGTGGCAAGAAATCTTGGGAGACCATTTTTGTCCCAAAAAAAAATGTGTGAAAAAATATGAACATGTTTTTTTTTCAGAAAAAATATTGCTAGTCTCCCTGTCCCAAACGAATCAGACGGCTTATTAAACTCTTCTTAAAGAACAGTTTTTCCACACATTTCCAATGCACTGGGCCATGAGAGGGCCCAGTTCACTTTAGTAGGTTTGTTCTCAGGTTTCACAATTGCAGCAAACTTTTCCAGAGCTGATCCTGGAGCCAAGAGAAGAAAGAAAGGCCTTTTACAAAAGCAATTGAGAAGTTCAAAGCCCAAGCCTTTCCCAAAAGAATCAGACCGCTTATTAAAACATTATTTAAAAACAGTTTTTCCACAAATTTCCAAGGCGCTGGGCCATGAGAGGGTCCAGTTCACTTTAGTAGGTTTGTTCTCAAGGCTCACAATTACAGCAAACTTTTCCAGAGCTGATCCTGACTTTATCTTCCTCTGCCTCTTCCCCTTCCCCTTCCTCTTCCTCTCTCTCTCTCTCTGTGTTCCTCTTCCTCTTCCTGTTTCTCTTCCTCTTCCTCTTCATCTTCCTCTTCCTCTTCCTCTTCCTCTTCCTCTTCCTCTCTCTCTCTCTCTATCTCTCTCTCTATCTCTCTCTCTCTCTCTCTCTCTTTGAAGAAAAAAAATATTTCCCTTTCTCTGTTCCTTTCTCTTTCTCTTCTTACACTTTGAATTAAAAAAACTTAAGGTGGAAAAGGTAACGCAGTCAACATGCTGAATCCCACTCACTACAAGGTACTACAAGTGCTACAAGTACTACAGCTACTACAAGTTTACAAGTACTACAAATACCACAAGTTCATTGGCACAAAAAAAAAAAAAGATTTCAATTGTCGCCAATTGAAATCCTTATATACTTAGATGCGGGATCGTCTTAAATGCGGGATCGTATGTTTTCTGGGGAGGAGTTTTTTGGCACCCAACTTTACAAAGGGTATAGCTATTGTTGAGGGGGGGGCCTGACACTAATCAGGACGAAATATGACCACCATGCCAGCTAGCATCAACCCATCTATCTGCGCCGATCCTTTTTGTGGCTTTCCGGATGTTCTGTTGTTTGACCGAAGGGGACCATGCTGGATATGTTCTAAATCCATGAAACATACTCCGATTTTCTCGGCTTTTTTTTGGTTGTTTTTGGGGTGTAAAAACCCCACAAGAACAGACCCCATCTTGAGATCTCCCATTTTCCACAAGAACAGATCCGGGATATCTGGCGTCTCCATGGCGGCATGGATTTCAAGATTTTTCCATCGCATCCGGCGGCACCAACGTGATGGAAGTGAGCCTTTTTCCATCTTTTTCCGTCCCAACATTGGTTGAAGATGTAGTTGGTTGACAGGTTTCCCTGCTAGGGGTTACAATAGTCCCCATTTACATAACCAACTAGTATAATCCTTCATAATAACCAATCAATCCAATCAACCATGGCAATTTTCATGGCTCAAGTGAAACTTTCCAGAACGTGCAAAACCATTCGAAACCAATTGTTTTTTGGTGGAATCTTGGCTGCAAGTAATTCCATTCTAATATAAATTCCTGAAGAAAAACGAAAAACATGTGTCCTATCTCTCAACCACAAATGCTACAATCATGGGAGGTATGGACCCCTCAAGTATCAAGAACACAAGAATACGCAGCTTGGTGCCGAACACTCACCCAAAAAGAGAAACACAGGGCCAAAACATCAGGACAAAAGAATCGCCTCTCATATTCCATCACTTTCCCAAAAAAATCATCGCCGCTGGGCGTCGCTAAGGATCTAAGGGCTCTTGCGTTTGAAGGTGCGGCCCCAGGAGGTGTTTTGACCCTCCTGGCGGGGCAAACTGTCCGGGCACTTGACTTTGGGCAGCCGGGAAGTCATGGATAAACAATGAGAAGTACCCCCAAAAGTTGGGATAGCCAGCCAGCCAATCTTTAATGGAAAACTCCTGCATAAATGGGCCATGTTATGCCATTTTGAGATCTTCCAGCATGCCAGGTGTGATTTCCGGTTTCATCCCATCCCAAAAATGGATCCCCCAACTGCCGCCTCCAGGCCCGTGAGCTTAAAGATCAGAATCCCCTGGTCATCGATGCAACGCTCCTCTCTGAAGCGGCCCTGCGGACCGCAGCGCTCGATGACCAGCGTGTTCTTCTCCCAGAAAGCCATCTGGAGAGATCCGGAGATCTCCGGCGCGATCCAGGACAGGGACTTCGATGAAGTTTGGGGCAACACAATGCAAAACCAACCAGCTGGTTGCTCTAAATCTTGCTTCAGCATTTCTTTTTGGGGGCTGGACCAACACGAAGAATACAGCTCAAGCACTGTAAAAGAATTTGAGGGGCTCGGTTCCAATCCCAACTACATCTTGGGAATATGTCAAATCCCTATATATTGCTTTGAGAATTTCAAGGGCCCTCATTTAAAGCGACGACATTCGTAAATGATTAACAGCCGTGGGCTACAGTACTACGCTGCAGAATGGCGCCACTTGCCTGCTGAGGCCAAGCCCATCCAGCGGGTAAATCACAAGAATAGGCTAGCAAACCCAACAAGCACAAGAGCAACAAGCACCGCGAGGGGGAATCGACGAAAAAGAAACTAGACAGGAGTTGCTGACAGGAAATCCCTGCGCAGCCGCTATCCAGAAATGAACTGTGAGAAGCTCCTGTCTGGTTCCTTTTCCCTACGGAAAGCCAAAAACAGCCTGGATGGCTCATCTAGGCTGTCTTTTTGCGTTTGGTAGGGGAAGAAACCAAACAGGAGCTGCTGACAACTGTTCCCTGCGTAGCCGGGGCCGCTATCAGGGATCACCTGTCAGCAGCAAAACTAGTTTTGCTCAAATGCCGCGTAGTGTCATAAACCAAATCAGCAATCCCCAATATCACCAGCAAATGAACCATCCAAAAATAGAGGGTTATGATTGGGTCTCTCACCGTAAGCCCATGGCCATGGCACACATTCCAAGGTTTGTTTGTGGCCATCCACGGTGTTGTACGGGGCTCCATTGGCCACGAATTCCTCTTTGATGGGCCCCATGACGGTATGATTGCAGAAGTAGAACTTGTCCTGGCCAGGACAGCTGATATCAGGTCGAGGCTCCGTTGCAGAAGGGTGTTCTTACCGTGTCAGGTCATCCAATTCTCAGAGAAAAAGTGAAGTCATGACAGACAAGACAAATTCCCATATCCCAGTCTAGGTCTAAGAAAATGTGGCCGTGAAAGTCATGGGTTGCATGTGGCTTCCCATGCTTCGCAGGTGATTTGACCTCCCCCGAGGCATCGCAAGGCCCTGTTTTTTGGCCCGTCCTCGTCTTGCTGAAATTCCCAGCTGGGCCACGGCGCTTTGGACGCGGCCAGACGCTTCACATAGCTGATGCCCATCTCCTTTAAAAATTCCTCGCTGTAAGTGCACCTACCCTTCCGTCAAACATAGCTGGGAACTCCCCCGCTAAAAATGGCGGTCTTCATGGGAAAACCATTGAACTAAATGAGGAGCTTATGAGGACCTTTCCAGTGCCATATGGCTGGCATCTGGCTTTGTCCAAAAAATGCTGGGCGCTCCAAAAACTGACCACTTTTAGGGAAAATGATGAAAAGTGATGTGTTGATATCTTTTGAACCAACATATCTCAGGGGCCTATCCTAATGGCAAAGTGGTGATGTACCCTACTTTCAGGCAGATTCATATGCTCAGGCTCTCAGGAAATAATAGGGATCTTGACTAAGAATACCCAAGGACCATCAGGCAAGATCAACCAAGAATTCACGGAGAAGATTTTGAGCCCTTGAACAACGTTGTTTCTATAAGGGTGTCAAACAGTCCTTCCTGACATTTCCTGACGGCCCAAAAATCACCTATTCGACTCGACCTATTCATTTACCTACAATTTACCAAGGCAATTTCTAGTGATGATGGTGGATGGCTTTAAAATTGACCTGGGCAGGCACATTGGCATACCAAAAATCGACAGTCAGATGATCAGGTGATGCAACTGCAGCATCCAGTTGCGGTCCAAGCATATAAATCGGGTTTTTTTTTGTGGTTGCTTAAAACCCATAGAGCCATAGAGCTTGAAAATCGCTGGAATGGTTCCCGTGCTGTTCTTCCACAAAAACTGCATCACCCAATGCCATTCCATTCTGGGCACCCCAGGGATCCCCGGAAATTCCCCCCGCCACCGAGCCGCATCCAAGCCCCAGGTTGAAACGCAGATCCACTGCCCATTGAAGTCTGGGACCACAGGTTTTTGGCCTTTGTGGAAGAAGCCCGAGATCCGCGAAGCCTTGGGTTTTTTCGCTGTTTTTTTCCAGACATCTGGATGGTAACCCTCTGGCAATCTAAGTCATGGCCCGGTGCTTTCGATTTACCCATGGAAAAACGGAGGGGTTGAACACCAGTTCAGAACATCCCTCCATGTATCAATATGTCAACATACCATCAGTAGATCAATATCTATCAATAATGATCAGTGTCTTCAATATTTCAATTGACATCAAATAACAATGCACATTCTCAATCAACATCAAATAACAATGCACATTCATCATATATCATATACATTATCTGGTTGGTGGTGTACCTACCCCTCTGAAATTTATGAGTTCGTCAGTTGGGATCATTATTCCCAAGATATGGACAAAAATACAATTCATGTTCCAAACCACCAACCAGTTATACATCATATACATCATATACCCTCTGGTAAACTAACATAACTATGGAAAATCACCATTTGTAATAGGTAAACTCACTATAAATGGCCATTTTCTATAGTTATGTGGCTGTTTACCAGAGGGTACATCATCAAAAATCCTCCCTTAAGTTCCCCAGGCACCAACGCCGACGTCCAGGCACCAGGGATTTCTTGGATCGCTTGCTCGCCCTGCTGTTCAACGACGACGTGGTCCCCGCCTTCAACGAGAGACGCTGCCGGGTGTCTGGGGCTTCGTCCACGTCCATGCCCTGAAGACTCACCGAGGACACCACTTTGCTGCCAAACCTGCAACGCTCATCATGGGAGAAATCATCCAAGGGGCTTACACACACAGACAGACAGACAGACAGACAGACAGATAGATAGATACATACATATATATATATGTGATAAATATATACATATATATATATATTATGTGTGTGTGCATGGGTCTGTGTGATAGCGTATGAATGTATAATATAATTAATGATATATAATTATAATAAATTATAATAAATTATATATATATGTATATTGACAGTATATATACATATATTTAAGTCTCCTATGCAAATGTGGACCTATAATATATCATGTGGTTCTGGTTATATATATACATCTATATGCCAAATCATATCAATAGTGGCCATCAGTACTTGCGCAGAAGTGTCGATGATATTCAGTTGCTATCAGAAAGGAGAGCCTGCCGGAAGCATTGCAGATCAATATCACTGTTTGATTGGTTGAATGACTGAAGGAATGACTGAATGATGAAATTACAATATGAAATTATGAATTGGATTGAATTGGTTGCATTTGCAAGTTAACATTCCTTATTGAAGGAACTGATGAAATGGCACTAAAAGAATGACTCTTTTTTTTTCCCCTCGATTCCTGGATTGGTTTTCATCCCATTGGAGATCATCCTATCGGATACATTCGGATGTCACGACCCGACCGCGACGGACTACGCGTTGCTTATTATTCGGCCAACAGCTGTTGCTAAAGCAAGTTGTGGTCACCAAATTTACAGATTCAAAAAGTGGAAGCAAAATTTTTGGGGCTAAAACCCCCATACTTCAGGTTCTTCGTTAATTAAACCAGCAAAAAAGAAAAGCAACGACATAATGTTGCACTGCTTAAACCCCAAGTTCTCGTTGCTCAAACCCAATTTTCCTGGCTCAACCCCACCCCAAGCCACCAAATCCAATCTTTTTCTTGTTGAAACACATGGTGAAGCGGACTCTTTTTGAACCCAATTTTAGGCCCCCATCACCATCCCTTCAGAGCTTGTTGTTTCAAGGCCCAGCGGCTTCTCCCTCTGTTGGTTTCCAAAGGCCGTGGGCGACGGCGTGTCGTTGCTGCCCTCTGCGCGGTCAGCGCGGTCAGCGCGGTCATTTAAGGGGCCCAGTTGGAGGGGTTCGCGGACCACGCCCGTGCTGCTCAGCTGGATATTGTCCTGGAGTGGAACTGGGGAAACTGGGGAACATGACATGCTTACATGGTTTGAGGATCAAAAATTGGAAACAACTGGATTTAAGCACCTGAACATGCGGATCTAATCATCAACAATTTGGATGCCATCACCTGAAAAATGAGGATTTAAGCTAGACTAGAAAACTGGAGTTTAACAGGGAGAAACGGGGATTTAGTCAGCAAACATTGGGATTTAGGAAACACAATTGTGGAATTAGCCTGGCAATAATTCGGGATGTAACAAGCAGATGTGTTGATTATCAAAATACGAATTCACCAACACTAACGGGTAATTGAAGCGATTTAAACTACAAGAAATGGTCAACCAACAAAATGCGGCCCCCACAAAGTAAGGAATATGCTGTTTAATGATTTAGCTCAAAACTTGGCCTACAGAAACATACAGAAAGATAACAAGCTAAGAATGGGGCAATGATCACCAGCAAAATTGAGGGACATCTATTGCCCAAACGGGTTTAACCACTCAAAAGGGGAGGATGAGCAGCAAATAGTGTAAAGGCATGTCACCGACAGAAATCCAGATATGACCACTGAAATTGTGGGTAACAAAAATCTCAAGGGAACCATAAAAGATAGAACATATCCGCAGGAAATCCGGAAAAAAAAAAAAACTACTTCTGATCCAAACTCACAAACCGTCCCCAAAACCCCACCCACTGTAGTTTATGAAGCTGATCACTACTGTGCCCCGGCCCATCTGCCGAAAAGGGGGTTGCTGAATTTCATAGCCCATTGAGGCTGATCATTGAGGCCCCCATGGTCCCATAATCGGTCCTAGCACTACCGGTAATTTGTTACAGGTTGCTATTGAAAATGTCCATTTACAGGTGATTTACCCACTAAAAATGGTGATTTTCAACAGCTATGTTAGTTTACCAGAGGGCAAGTAATAAAATGATAATAGCAATGCCAATCACAGTCATCCCAAGTATCTCAATCATCCCAGTAATCATTGACATAATTACTTGCATCCGAGCAACAACAATAAGATATAACCATGCAATAACCATTATCGCCCTCTGGTAATTTAACATAGCCATGTCCAAATGCCCATTTGGTTCGGCAATTTACCCATAAAACATGGCCATTTTCCATGGCACACTGTTGATTAACCAGAGGGTAGTAATTAGTAGCTAATGGTGTAGTAATGTAGCAAACCCAACGCCATACTGCTATTTGGGGGTGTTGAAAACAAATCCCACCCATTTTTGGTCAGTCCGTGGGGGTAGTTTATAGATGTTTATAGTTGGGTTTGCCACATTGTGTTCCGCCCCATTTTTGTTTACCTTTACATAACATATACAAATGATGATACCTTAAAAAGGGCATGACATAATAACATAAACTGTCACATTACCGGGTTACCGTGACATTACCAACATGTGGGGATGGTTTTCCATATTGATATCTATCACTTCCTGTTCTGCCGTCGGTCCTCTTCATCAGCTTCTGTGGGTTTGGTGGGCGCTGGACCCACGGCCGTCAAATCATCCCCCGCATTGCAGCCACAGCAGGAGACGAGGTGATTCCCCATCTACGCCGCGTTAGGCAGCTGCGTTACCCGCACGTTTTTGGGCGGGTGCACGGCAAATGGCTGAGGCGTTTTCTCGGATGTTCACAACTGTTCCTAAACACATATATACATATATAACCTTTTTGAAGTTAAACATCAAAAACTGGGATTTAGATCACCAACTTTCATGATCAAGGGATTGGTTTCATCGAGGTATTTTTTTACGGATCCAACGTTTTAACTGTCAAATATAGGGGTGTCCTGTGAATTGTCCAAGCAAGTTGTAAGAGAAAAACTCGCCCAGTCCCGGCTTTACGGTGGCATAATTTTGTGGGCACACACATTTTAAAAAAAAAAACTACTCGATATATGTATGTATCAAAAAACTATATACTACGCACAGGTATGTTAACAAATGTAAATGTATAATAATGTATAGAACTGTATACATTGTGTGTGTATGTGTGTGTATGTGTGTGTATGTGTGTGTATGTGTGTGTATGTATGTATGTATGTATGTATGTATGTATGTATGTATGTATGTATGTATGTATGTATGTAGTATGTATGTATGTATGTATGTATGTATGTATGTATGTATGTATGTATGTATGTATGTATGTATGTATGTATGTATGTATGTATGTATGTATGTACAAGTATGTATGTATGTACAAGTATGTATGTATGTACAAGTATGTATGTATGTACAAGTATGTATGTATGTATGTATGTATGTATGTATGTATGTATGTATGTATGTATGTATGTATGTATGTATGTATGTATGTATGTATGTATGTATGTATGTATGTATGTATGTATGTATGTATGTATGTATGTATGTATGTATGTTGTATGTATGTATGTATGTATGTATGTATGTATGTATGTATGTATGTATGTATGTATGTATGTATGTATGTATGTATGTATGTAATGTATGTGTAATGTAAGTACGTGTAAGGTAAGTATGTAATGTAATGTGTAATGTAAGGTAAGGTAAGGTAATGTAATGTAATGTATGTATGTATGTATGTGCCTATAATATAATATATATATATGTACTGTATCATGTGTTTGTTAATGTACAGTTGAAAGTTGAAGTTGATTTGCTTCTCTGTTTTGACTCAGCGAAACCAAAACTCACCCTTGAAGTTCACCCACCATACACGGTGAGGCCCCCATTTGATAGCTAAGTTGACGTATAACTTGGTGATTTCTATGGTTTATGGGGATATGACATGATATGACTATAACACATATATCATATATATATATACTTAGGTATATATATATACATGCTAATATATACATATATACATATATATATATGCACTGTTCATGGGGGTTATAGACCAACAAACATCACTGAGGGGCCTCATCTTAGGACCCTGTATGGTGAAACGGCTGTGGCAAAGCACATGATGGCAACGTGAAGTGACATGTATATAATCCTTTCCCCTAAATGTGAAGCACTCCCAAAAACCATGGTCTTGTGGGGAATTGTCACATATTTGTGACCATGCAATGGTAGTGTCTTTTTTGGGGGGGGGATGGGATTAACCCCATAGAATCATCAATCAATTTCAATCAACCCCATATGGCAGTGTGTCAAAACCTTGTACCCCTTCTGTTCACATCAAAATAGCGGGGATTTATGGATGTTCATTACTGTTCATCCCCCTAAAAATGGTATTTTCATAGGTATTGATCCATAGCCATATATCCCATGGTTGTTGGTGATTGGTTAAATAATTCGATGCTGATCTACTCAGACTCCTACTCCCCCTCCCAAAAACGGTTTCCGGCACCGGGCTGAGCGGATTGCTGACCTCGGTGCGTTTGCATCGATAAATAGCTAACATAAATATATAGAGAGAGAGAGAGCTATAATATATATATATATATACGTACAAATATACAGATACATAAGTGTATATATATAGAGAATTAAAGAAATATAGATTCTATAGATATATATATATAACCATATAGATATATACAAATATAGACATATAGAAATATAGATTCTATAGGTATATAGATTCTATAGGTATATAGATATACATATGTGCATATAGATATACATATGTGCAAGATATACATATGTATACACAACTATATAGGTATATAGAAATACAGATTCTATATATATGTGTGTGTGTGTTTAACTATATTCATATATCGAATATAGAAATATAGGTTCTATAGATATAGGCATATACATATAAAACTATAACTATATAATTAGATATACATATATAAAGAAATATGGACATATCTATATATATTGATATATTGATATACATATCTATCTATATATCTTATCTAACCTAACCTTATCTTATCTAATCTTATCTAATCTTATCTATCTATCTCTACCCGCAGGTGTTCTATTCACGCACAACATCATCACAGAAACGGGATGCCATCCAGGAAACAATCAACATAGCTCTATGGGTCTAATTGACAATGGCCCAACACCCGGTTAATTATAGGACTTCTATTGCCCAATCTATTGGGTATTATCAAACTCTACCAGTATGGGAATCCCCACCGACCTTGAGAAGCTGGTTGGTGGTTTCAACCCCTCTGAACAATATGAAAGTCAGTTGGGATTATTCCCAATATATGGAAAAATAAAAAAAATGTTCCAAACCACCAACCAGGACGGGATTTTTGGATTTTCCCCAGCCAAACGCAACGTGGTTTTTGCAACGCATCCGGCTTTCTCCAAACATCGGGGTGTTTGTTTTTTGCGGAGAAAAACATGGAGAAACAATGGAGAAACGTTGTTTTGGTATTATGTTGATATTATGTTGATAAATATTTTACCAAACATAATATCAACATAATATCAACATAATACCAGTATTTTGGCAATCATCAGTTCTCCACGATACTGCTTTCCCGGAAAATTCGCATCAACTACCGTATTTGAAAATAGGAAATTGATGATCAGGTGGCAAACCCCATGCCATAAACCATCCCCAAGTCATCACCACAAATGGTAGGTTTATAGCCAGAGCCAAGGGGCCGAAGATGTCGTTCCCGTCACGGACGCCTGGCTGCATAAAGACAGTGTGCACCGGTGTATGTACGTACGTATGCATGCGCATACATATAAGATAGGTAAACAGAGAGATAGGGATAGATAAAGATAGATAAACAGATAGATTATATAGATAGAGATAGAGAGAGATAGACAGATAGACAGATAGACAGATAGAGAGATCGATTAGATTAGATTAGATTGGATTGGATTAGTTCAGATCAGGTTAGACTAGATAGATAGATATATAGATAGAGGTAGATGATGAGATTACACTACATTGGATTAGATAAGATGAGATTAGATTAGATTAGATCTGATAGATAGATGTGTAATTATGTATGTAACATTTGTGGGTAGGTGTGCATGCATATATACTGCATGCAAATATACATAATTTAGTACATGTGCAAACATATATATATATATATACAGTACTCTATATATATATATATATGTGTGTATGTGTGTGTGTGTGGTTGCTCGTTTGAATACTGTAATTTTGTATGTTGTATGTACTGCACATATGTCTGCACGTGCATATATATATATGTGTGTGTGTGCCATATATATATATATATATTCTATATACATCTATATACTGTAGCCACTGCAGCCCTTGGTGTTTCAACCCGTCTCCAAGGTGCTTCACATGTCCAGATCTGCCTCCACAAGCATTGCATCCATAAACGCAGCGGCCCCGAAAGACCTCATCCTTGCGGGTCTGCACCTCAGGGTCAGAGAAGGGGCAAGCGGCTTTTCTTGGCTGCGTTTGAGGGAGCTTGAACGATATGAATATGAATAATATGAATATGAAAAAACTTGAAATATCAACAGGTTCTCATATGATGAAATATGCCAAGCTAAGATGGAAAAGTACTATCAGATTAATACTAATAACTCCTGAAACGTGTTGGTATCGTGTTGGTCTTCCACGACAAGACATTAAACAAACACTAAAGAATAAATCGTTACAAAAAGAAGGAGAGTTGCAAGCTGCTCTCGCACTGGCTTGAAAATGGGCCCCGCAGCCCCGCTGTTTTTTGGAACTTTGCCAACGCCCGCATCCGAGGATCTCATGAAATGCACCCAGCCGAAAAATCCCCAGCCAGGTTGATTTCAGCTCATGCCAAGAATGCTCATGAAAAACATTGATTACCCTTTGGTTATTTAACATAGCCATGGTATAGATGGCCCATAGGAATAGATGGTTTGCCTATTAAAAATGGTGGATCTTTCCATGGCAAACTGTTAAATAACCGGATGGTAATAGTAAAGGCCTATCAAGATGATTGGCATGTTACTATGGATGATATCTATTAGATACTAGGTAATACACAAATGCCGAAAAATCGACCCATTGCCCCCTCAACATCTCGGTCGTCGCCAAGTCGCACTCGGGGTGAGATACGTGACGGTAAGTAGGCCTTCGCCCCGACACCTCGCGAGGCTTCGCCCCGACCATCTGTGGCTCAAAATTTGGGAGGTGGGAACCCACCTCCTATGATCATTTACGGGCCAAAATGATTTTAAAATATTTTAAATAAGTCAAGCCAAAATGGAAAATGATAACATGATAACATGGAATCAAATGATATAAAATGGAAATTCTGAACTATAGCAGATGGAATCCGGGTACAGATGTTGAGACAACCCCTACTATATCTATATATATATATATGTGTGTATATATATATATGTCTGTGTGTGTGATTATGTGTGTGATTATGTGTGTGTGTGGATGGATGGACGGATGGATGGATGGATGGCTGGCTGGGTGGGTGGGTGGGTGGACGGACGGATGGACGGATGGATGGATGGATGTGGGAGGGTAGGTAGGTGGGTAGGTATGGTATGTATGGTATGTATGGTATGTATGGTATGTATGGTATGTCTGGTATGTATGGTATGTATGGTATGTATGGTATGTATGGTATGTATGGCATGTATGGATGTGTATGGTATG